TACATGGAAGAGAATTTCTCATAAAACATTAACATATTATCACATCATTTTTTAAGCGTTCAGATGCAAAAACTCAAAATGCCATCTAAAATTTTGTTCTGAAATGAGCATTTTCTCAGCCTCCCATGTTAATGTTCAGTTATTTCTTTTTAAAGGCAATGAAAGCAACCATAAGCATGAAGTTACTAAACCCATACAGAGGAGTCTAAGAAAAAGGCTCATTTTAGAAGAAAAGTTTGCAAAGACAGTTTTTTGCATCTATACTCTTTTTTTGTTGTTCTTATCCCAGTTTTAATGTAAATAAATATAGAGTCAGCTTTTAGTATAAAACATGCCCAAACCATCTCCATATATGGGCTTGCACAAGACTCCCTTTACAGACTTTTGTCACAGCGTTCAACCATATTGCAGTCTCAGACACCTTCTTACCAGATTCTGTTAAGTCATTCTCAACAAATGTTCAAACAGAGTAAATACTTTTGCTTATCTATTTGTATATTTGTGTTGTTATTCAGAGAAATCTTAGCATGAAATTTTGCTAGTAAGAGCTTGTAATTTTTCTTCATCAAAATTTGGACGTTAAAGGATTAGTTTTAGCAAAAACAAAATTTTTGTTATTAATTACAACCCTCATATCGTTATAGTCTCTTGTGTTTATCTTCAGAACACAAATTAAAATACTTTAGTAAGATACTTTTTTGCTTGTCTTGAAAATGCTTCTTGATTTAATAATTTTTCGATATCAGGACTAGAAACACTCCAAAAATTCATCAGCATTTTTGCAACGTATTGTGTTGCGCTGTTGACCCTAATGGCAACATGTTGTACACACACACAGTGACCCGATGAGGAAAAGAAGACATAGGTGCACATAGCCATATTTTGTACCACACAAAAGCGTTCTTAGAACGCCATATGTTTACAGTTGAGCCACTGAAATAACAGGGAATGCTTTGACAATATTTTGGTTTCTTTTCTAAACTTTGAGCATCCCTGGACCATTGCTGTCTATGGTAGGCCAGAGTGCTCCTGGATTTCATCTAAAATATTTTAACGTGTTGTCATGTTTAAGGAAAGTCTTGGACAGGTGTGTCCAAAGTCGGTCCTGGAGGGCCTGCAGAGTTTAGCTTTAACCCCAATTAGACACACCTGAACCAGCTATTCAAGCTTTTTCTAAGTATACTAGAACATGGGTGTCTAAACCCAGTCCTGGAGGGCCTGTGTCCTACAAAGTTTAGTTCCAACCCCAATTTTACACACCTGGGCTAGAGACACTGGACCTCCAAGAAAGAGTTTGGATGACCCTTGTCTTGGGGCTTTAGGATGACATGAGGATGAGTAAATAATAACAGGTTTTTTCAGTTTTTGGGTGAACTTGATTCTTTAAATTCCCAAAAAACATTTAAAGAGATCCATTCGTCCTCATAAGTGTTTTTTTTTCTTATAAATTTCTTTAAAAAAACTAACATACCATTTCACTCAATGTCTGTTATTTGCAGCTTTCTGTTGGTCCTGCAGAGGCACTTTTTCATCTTCCTTCGCACTCAAGATAAAGCAAGACCATTTTACATTACTTGTGTCCAGTAAAAGATTGAATGGAGGAGGTTAAATTATTCATTTCTAATGATTTATAATGTGACTTAAAAGTTATACGATAATAAGTCATGTACTGTAAAGTTCAGGTATATGCATACTTGAATTCTTGTAAAAAGAATATCAAAGAATCTAATTTGTGACTTGTTCTTTTCTTCTTTCACTCAGATGTTTTCATTAGCAGTGTACAGTATTAGCATTTTGAAATCTGAAAAGTCAATTAAAAGGATGCTAGTTATTCCAGACTCATATTCTGTGAGAAGACAGAAGACATGGCACAAAACGTTATCACCAAGTTCTTTATCTCATTCCATTCAACAACAAATGTGTTGTTTTTGTTTGTTTTACATTTACAAAAAGAAAGAAAAAAACTGAGAAAAACAGTTCCTCCCTTTATTCTTAAAGGCCTTTTGCATACTCCATTATGTACTTTTTTTTTTTTAAACAACCAATAGGCAGCCACATTTTTGGGGGAGGGTTGGGGGCAGAGAATTAGCAACGTACTGGTAGAGATACAAAACACCAACAGAAACCAGGAGTCATGCAGACACAGTGAGAAACCCAGAGATGAGGAGATTCATTGCAGTGAATTGAGGAGGAAGCAGGGAGGCTTTTGAGAAACACGCAGTCAATAAACCTGCACTTCTATTCCATTAAGCTCATTAGAAATGAACCATGAGAATCAACCGGCCCTACGCCAATGCTTTTGCATGCTCCCCTTTTGACCATGCTTTCACTTGAATATGCAGGGCAGATTAATGGTCTCCAAACAGCATCAATGCAGCTCTAAAATTAGTTTAGCAGGACTACATCCTTTACTTTTTCTAGCCCACAACAAGCTCAGTGACTTGCACACAGCGATAAAGCATTTTTTGGGAGCGTCACGGGGCATTTGGGTACAAAACAAGTGCGCAAGAGTTAGTTTTTAATTCCTTTATACACCGTTATATTCAATGTTTACTCATTATGTAATAAACCTCTCGTTGTTTTTACACGTTCATATCCTGCATCTCTTTTAAGGCTTTTTGGACAGCCGTGCACATATTTACTCCAGTATGGCACCATTTTTTGTTTTAGACAAAAAGAAAGAATTATCACACACCCAACAAACACTCACGCGCAGAGGTCTACTCTTTGACAAGGCCATAATGCTTTTTGAAGAATTAGTGGTGCAATGGACAATGCAGCAAACAGTCATTTGGGCCTCATGTTCATGAGCGATGGTGAAAAGTTTACTTGATGTACTTTAAAAAACTCGTTCTTTCTCTCACATACGCACATAAAACAAGCAATATGCAAACACGCATAACTAAAATACACTCAAGGATGGTTTAGACAATGAATTACATGCTTTTACTCTTACAGAAGTTGGCTGCATTCAGTCTGGATATTTTTTTTATATTATTATTTTTATTTCCTATCAATTACACGGTTCAAACCAAAGATTTGGACACATTTGAATTGTTTCTTATTATCTTTTAATCTTATTTATTAATTTTTGTTGAGAATCGATAGATTAATCAGTTTGGGTCAGATTAAGACGAGACGTCAAATTTTGCTGTTTGCATCAAGTTAAATTTACGAAAGTTTTTTATATACATAATTCAAACTAAAATTTTCAATAACTTTGTTAAATACGGGGGAAGTAATGTCATTTAGCATAACGGATACATTACCGTTATAAAATCTGACCTCTACGTACTAAAATGTAAAACAGAACAAGAAAAGATCCAATTTTTTGACTCAAAACTTAAGATAAACCAAAGGGAAAAATTAAAATGTTAAAAAAAGGACATAATCAATACGACACATTTTTTCATGCTTAAAAAAACCCTTTAGTCTTTGACCTTTTTACACCACACTTAAAAAAATTACTATTTTTAAAAAAGTAAAATACATTAAAAAGCCCCAATTACAGGTTTTTAAAATTGAGCTTCCATGCAATGTGCAACAGCTCTAAGTGAATGAAAACCTCCAGCTGAGGTTTAAATCTGAAAGTGCACCATGTTTAAAGCTATTGATTCTTTAACAAAATAGGCGACTTGCATGCATATCAGCCTGTTGTTGGTGACCCCCAACACCAAAATGTGACCTTTTATAATGCAAAATAAGAGCTTTGTAAGTAAATTTGAATAAATTAAGGGACCAGGTTTGGCTAATTGTCATTTTGATTATATTCAATATTTCTTTTTTCTAAAAAATTTTTTTTTTCTCTTTTCTAAATTGATCATAAAATATGGAAAACAATATTAAACAATTAGTATGTGTCCAAATTTTTGATACTAGCATATTTATTTTCACATCTGAGAGATTCTATCAACTTGTTTGTTTTGTTTTAGTAAGCTTAGTCTCAGCCATTCTGTAGAGCAAAAGCCTCTGACTGGACTCACTCAAAACTAGCTCAAACAAAAGAAATGTCTTTATATTAAGTGCCTTTGGAATATACGCTTATGATAATGACTGCTAACTAATAAATAAAAACTAGCATCACATCGCTCTGCCATTAACTCAGGCATGCATTACAGTACAATGAGACACAATCTTAAAAAAAAACCCGGCAATCAAGACAAATAAATAAAAACAAACATACAAAAAATAAATATGTTTCACCAGGACAGTGATTAAGCCTTTGGCACAGTCATTCTTAAGAACAGAAAAACACAAAAGTTCTTACTGATGTATCCCGAATCCCCCTTCTGTCTCTCGCTGAGAAATCTGTGGGAGTGTGTATGTGAGAGGGAGAATATCTGGCGATGACAGTGATATGTTGGATTGTCTGTGGTTTGATGTCCAGTCTGTTCCTTTTTTTCAGTGACTCTGAGGGTCTGGTCTCTCCAATTGAAGTCCATTTGTTTTAGTGCAAACGTACAGAGAGACGACCCTCAAAACAAAATGAAACACACACATACGCATGTACACACACAATTAATGCCAGGCAGGGAGCAGATGTGACATTCAATGCGAATATCCCAAATGACGTGTCTCCCTTTAACTAGATTTAAAAATTCTAAAAGATTCAACGCATTTACCTCCTCAGTCTTCTCTTTGCTCTTCAGCTTCAAAATAAACGTTCTCCTTGGTTTATAGGACTATTGGGCTCAAAAATTTAAATTCTGTCATTATTTAAAGGGGTCTTTAACAAATCATATTTTATAATAATAATTTTAAAAATTATTAGGTTACAGTAACAAACTGTAAAAAAAAATCTGTAGTTGTACGGTTTATTTCCGGCAGCTGGGGTGCAAAAAAAAAGTAAAATAACGGCCATTAAAATACAGACATTTACCATAAAATAACGGCTATTAAATTAGACATTTACCGTAAAATAACGGATATTAAATTACAGAAATTTACAACAAAATTTTAAATTTAAGGAAATTTCTGTAATATTACGTCCGTTATTTTACTTTTTTTTTTCTCGGCACACCAGCTGTCAGAAATAAGCCGTAAAATTACTGATTTCTTTTACAGTGTAGTAATAGGCTAATTTCTGTCCTGTTTCGACCTCCTCATATGTGCACACTGCTTGAAAATGCGTGGCAGATTGTAATCTGAATGACTAAAAGTTTGCATGTTTAAAAATTAAATAAAGATTAGGTGCCAAAGATGAAAAGGATAGATGTGTGTTAACTAGGGCTGCACAATATGTAGTTTCAGCATCAATATCACAATGTGATCATGTGATCATTCGACAATAGTCACATTGCAGGATCTGCAAAGTTTAGCTTCAGTTTATTCATTCCTCAGGAAATTTGAGTGGAAATATAGCTGACCAAGAATGAGATTGTTGAGTGATTGTGAAGTTTCAACCTAATAGAGTGAAATAGTGCCTGTTTGCTTTGTTTTTAAGGACTATGCATGATTTCAAGTGCATTTAAATAGCTTGCGTACAAGAAATTATAACAATTTAACTTTTATACAATGAAGACTGTGTACTTTTATTTGCTTACATTTAATTATTCAACATACACAAACAAATCTGGCCTATGAAATCATCCCAATCCAAATAAGATGATGAGTTCTTTTCAAACTGAGCTATTCAAGTCATCTGGTGAAATAAATAAAATCATATTGCAATAAATATCGAAGAAAAACGAAATATTGCAATGCCAGATTTCCACTATCGTGCAGCCCTAGTGCCAACCAATGCAATGTGTGGTGCGACATTAATTTCGAATGCAATTTAGTGACAGCATTTTTGTTTCAATCTTTCTGAAAAGCCACCATTGAATTGTGTTTTGTTTGTAAAACAATCAACAATAAAAAAAGTTTGATGAAGTTGAAATGAAGTTAAAAAGGACCTAAAGCAGTCTACAACTACAATATAAATAAAGTTTATCCAATATTTCCTGATGGGATGTTTTTCCACATGTTTTTCCCACAATGTATGCCATTTGTTTGTCCTACAACAGCCTAAATCAGTGGGTGGGGCTAAACAGACAGTGAAGCAAGCAGTGGTCTTCAATAGTGGAGGCGGAGTTTAACCACACTATTACAACATAGAGTGACTCATTCACAACTGATTATTTTGGTAACCTGGATTCAACGCAAGCTGTTTTAGACTAATGGGAACACTGAGTTCTGAAACTTAGAGAATATTTTTATACCTCAGTGACCTCTTACATGTCAAAAGATCAAATGAGTTTTGACTTTTCAGTTCACCACCCCTTTAATCTTTCATAAATGTGTTTGGTTGAATAAATAATGACAGAATTTACATTTTTGTGCTCAACTGGCCCTTTAAATGTGATGAAAAAACACGATTGGCTGAGGAGAGGAGAAAAAGATATCATTTACGGAATGGTTTGATCTGTATCTAAAGAATTCTTTTGAACAAAATAAAGCTAAAGAAAGGAGAGACAAAAATACGACATCTTCAGGTATCAAAAAAACTAATCAGCCATCACTGTGCGTCTCATCCGTCAGTCATGTCCGATCACATTAGGACTCTTTCCGTAAGAAGAGGCCTATTTGAGCTCCCCCAATGGGACCGTATACAGTAGATGCACCTCCAGTGTCTTCACGGGCCCCTTTTAGCGACTCGGGGAGAGAGTGTTCGATTGAGGGAGGACGAGTGAAAGGAAAGAAGGCATAGTCAGGGTGTGTTCAGTTGTGTGTTAGACACTGAAAGCGGTTTTTGAAGTACAAGAGGCCATTTTTGGTGTGCGTCGCATCGGATGAAGCTGGAGGGTAACGGAACTTTGCGTACGTTTTGTCGCTTTCCGATTGGCCCCAGGGAAGCTTGATCTTAGTGGCGTGGTTCACAATGACATCATCACACGAACCAACATGCAGAGAGCCGAGCCCATCGATGAAAAACTCTGGAGAACAAAATAGAGAAATTAGGAAGCTAGCTTTGTCCCCAGAGTCATGGTGTTTTGGTGTGTTTATAATAGAGCTGCAAGATTCTGGAGGAATTGACCCTTCACAAGACCTGCACCCTTGCTATATTTGCTCCCACTGTTAATTCATGCACTCTCCAGGGAAATTATTAACAATTTCTGAAGAAATGACACAAGCTGACAGAAAGGTTTGCAATATGATATACTGTATTTAGGATGTGAAAGTGACTAACTTAAATTAACTATTGAAATTAGCTATTCAAAATAAGGATTGAAGTTATAGAGTTACAAGTTACATCTGTCACTGGGGCGAGAACGTTTCCAAAGTGACATTTTTGTTTCAGGTTTATATGAATTAATAACAGGTACATATTAATATCTAAAAAGTATAAATGTGTTCCTCGTAATACCATAAATAGACATAAGTGAAAACTAAAGGTACAAAAGTGTACACTACTTGCTAAAGTCTTGTTGTTAACCCCAGTAGTAAGAGCAGCAAATATTAACTTGACTTGTCGTTGGTCAGTTGGAAAAATGGCAGAAGGTAGATTTTCCTGATGATTCATCTGTTGAACTTCACCCCAATCATCACAAATAATGCAGAAGACCTACTGGAACCCGCATGGACCCAAGATTCTCATAGAAATCAGTCAAGTTTGGTGAAGGAAAAATCATGGTTTGGGGTTTTATTCAGAATGGGGGCGTGCAAGAAATCTGCAGAGTGGATGGCAGCATCAACAGCCTGAGGTGTCAAGGCATTTGTGCTGCCCATGACATTACAAACCACAGGAGAGGGCACATTCTTCAGCAGGATAGCGCTCCTTCTCATACTTCACCCTCCACATCAAAGATCCTAAAAGCAAAGAAGGTCAACGTGCTCCAGGATTGGCCCTCCCAGTCATTAGATGTGAACATTATTAAGCATGTCTGGGGTAAGATGAAGCAAGAGGCATTAAAGATGAATCCAAAGAGTATTGATGAACTCTGGGAGTCCGGCAAGAACGCTTTCTTTGCCATTCCAGATGACTTTATTAATAAGTTATTTGAGTCATTGTAGAGATGTATGGATGCAGTCCTGCAAGCTCATGGGAGTCATACACAATATTATTTCATTTTCCACTGCACCATAACTTTATATTCTATACTGTACATTATTTCTGTTAGGTGACAAGACTTTTGTCTAAGCTAAGTCAGACCTTACTGTTCTAATTAAAGCATTAAAAATCAAGACATGATCATATTTTATTTTGTTAAAATAAGCATTATATAGAGGCATTTGCCTTTCATATAAGTCACTTTTGATACCAAATGATCAACAAGAAGTCAGGTTATTATTTGTTGTTTCTAAAACTTGCATATGAAACGACTTTTGTCAGGTAGTGTACCCTAAAGAACTAATGTCCACCTGTTAGTAAAAAAGTTTACCTTTTCAAAGGGTACCTTTACAGTGACAGATTTTGTACAGCGTGTGTACAGGTTACAGGATAAAATAAGAAAGAAAATAAAGAAGGAAAGAGCAATGATTTTTATTAATAATTTTTTGTAACTATTTACAGTTGTGTGCTCGAGAGAAAATATAACTACCAATGGCATATCTCCTGAATTAAAAAAAACGTCATAGTGTAGATGTAAGATGACAACTGGTCAACATCTGACAATACCAAAAAATATATATTTTCAGACATCTTTATAATAATTTTTGTTTCACCTTCAGAGGAGGAAATGCATATTTGGTAAGTAACCCTGGTTTTCTATAGCAACAACTGAAAACGTCGTCATTTTGACCTACTGTCATTTTTTAAGCAGAAATATTGATGAGAAATCATTATATTTAAATGTTGGAAGTATATTCAGCTAATAACTCACCCAGATGTGCAACACGGGCTAGCCGAGGGTCAAAGCCAACTTGCTGCACTTTATCTGTCCTGGCGAGAAAGAAGTTGATGACCCCGTCAGTGATCACGCAGTGAGGAAAGCCCTGAATGATGTGATGGAAGCCTCTGCGCATGTGCAGACAGTCCCCGTCCTCCTCACCGGCTTCAATGGAGATAGTCTGCCTGTAGGTGGCGGTGTAGCCTGTAGCTTCACGCACTGCTCCTCCAACCTAAACACACACACACACACACACACACACAGTTGAGAGTCCGTCAAAAATAATATAATTATTACTACGCATAAAACATCCTCTTTCTCTCAGTCATTGTATTAATCATTATAGTTTTGATTTTATCAGAACTATTCAGCTGTATGATATAGCTTCCTCTTTTTTCTCTCTCTCAAGTCAAGCTTTATTCATTCCGCTACATGTGTGGAAATACAGAGGAGAGGAACAAAATGCCGTGTTTCGCAGGACAACGGTGCATTAATAATCCTAAATACAAACACAACACTCATCTGAAGGGAGCACAATTTGAAATGCTCAATGTTTCCAAGAGACATGGAGTGGTTAATAAAGTGTCTATAGTCTAAATGTGCAAGCTTGTGCAAGGGTCAGAGAGATGTCTTTTCTACAGGTGGTTTGTTAAGCCCACTCACCTGTATGGGACTTACTTAGAAATGTTTGGGGGGATGGGGTGGTGGATGAGATTTCAGAGGGGGGTAAATTGACTGGAGTTGATGGCTCTAAAAGCCTGTGGGAAGAAGCTGTTGAGTAGTCGAGCAGAGCAGGCTCCAATAGTTTTTAACCTTGTTCCTGGTGGCAGCAGCTGGAAGAGACTGTGGAAGGGATGAGTAGTGTTTCACAATACTGCTGGAGCACCGTGAGAGGAACATGTCCTGAACGGAGTATCTTGTTAGAAGAATGTCTTTGCTAACAGGATACCGGAAAATGGTAGATAGAGTGTTTCCTCCTTTGTTGTTGGTGTTGTTGTTGTTGTTAATATTAGACACATTATTATTGTAATATTATATAATTTTAGCTATTAGCAGTAAAATAGATTAGTCATAACAAATTTGGAAGGGAAAAAAATAGAAAATAAAATAAATAAATTACATAAAAATATAATAACATTATTATTATTATTATTATTTTTATTATTATTATTATTATGTTAAATATGTTTGATTATTTTGTAAAAAATGACTTCTGTTTTTGTTTTTCAAACATTTTATGCCTATTTAAAATTGATTGATAATAGCTAAAATCGTATAATAATTCAATAATGGGCTTGTTTTTTGAAGCTGCAGTTGTGTATTTGTCTTGTGAAAGTCTATAAAACTGCACAGCAGCCAGACATGAAAAACACTGCAGAAAACCAACTCAAATAGTGAAAGCTCTTTGCTACATTTTATCTCTTACTATTACAAATAAAAAGCGGATGTAATTGTCTCCTTGAGGGCTTGACTCCGGTAGGGTGACTGTGTGCACAGAAGACTTGTTCACTAGAAAGGCCACATAGCTGACCTCTTCCAGTGCTGTCAGCTGCCCTAGATCGGCTGCTGCCTAAAGCCCACTGTAACACAAACTCTATTTGTCCATAAATATACATTATATAATCAAAACTGCCTCAAACTATACTAAAAACAATTATTAGTAGGCATTAAAATACCCAAAACTGAACAAAATTCAAACAAGCACATTTTGTTTCTGAAAGTATTGTACATTTTGAGATTTTACAGCTGTACAGACTCTGACAATTGTCTCATTGTTTAAAGAGAGAGTAGGAAGGTCTTAGGAAGCCTGTTTAGCTCATGTTAATAAAGAGAATCACATCAGCAATCAACGCAGTGCTGAAATTCTAAAAAAGTTCTGATTCTTTTCAGAAGAAAAGGCTAAAGAGAATTAGTCATATTCAGCAAAATGAGCAAAATAAAAACAGGCTGCTGTCAGAGGAATACTTATTTAACAAAACCACATACACAAAGGTCAATTCCCGCAGGTCAAACATTGAACTGTCGTTACTCCTACTGATGAATCAAAACTCCCTTATGCACCTATATATTTATCCATTGAGGTCAAGTTAAAATGGAAATTTGTGCCTATCTGGAATTTAATGATAATGGTGAGGGTCTCACCTCCTGTTTTTATGGGATAAAGTCTTAAGAGGTAAACTTATAGCAATATCCTCATACAAGAAAAAAGATAAATAAAATGTTAGATGACCTACATAATTAGTTAAAGAAGTCAGAAAAAAGACACAATGTGAGCTTAGCTCAAGACATACTAGATATAATTAGTAAAACTAGGGGCAAAATGAATAATTTGGCAACACAAGAAGTGAAGAAGAATTTAATGTTCTTAAAACAGAGGTACTATGAAAGTGGATCTACTACTATGAAAATATTGGCTTGGAAATTGAAGAAGAAAACAGCAAAAATACAATTCACAGAATTGAGACCAAAAAATAAAAATTATAAGAAACAAACAAAATGAATTCAGGAAGTTTTTAAAGAATTCCATAAAACATATTCTAGAGTTACAGGGGAAGATATGACTCAAATTGACACTTACTTGAATTCCTTAAAATTACCCACATTAAATGAAGAACAAAATAGAAGAATGACCCTTGATATAACAGAGGAGGAAATAAAAATTGCAATTACAGTTTTTCTCAGTCGCTTCGGTGCATTTCTCACAACACTTCTGTACAACAGCTAATGCATTTCTCAAAACAATTAGTAAAAACTGCAAAACCTAGATGATAACCTGCAAAGGCGCATCACTTACTCAAAATAGAGAGCTCATTCCTCAAAAGCAAGTCGTCATGTCAATAAAAGTTTCAGTGTCATCAAAATGAAAAGTCCTGACATCATTGTTTATGAACAAGATAGCAAATTGCTTTGTCATGTTTTCATTATGACAGCTTACTCTGTACATTTGTTCCAATGCTAAAAAGTCAGATTTTGATGACACTTTCTGAAAAGGCTCAAAACAGCACTATATTCTATTTGCAAAGCCATTTGAAAACTACAGTAAAGTTAGACATCACTTCATTTGGTGAGGTATCTGAGTACAAGACACTGAATATGTATGTTTCACATTTTTGCTGCATTTGCTCTTTACAATTCTAATTTATTCACAGCATTGTGCAAAAGAATAAACACACCCTTATTTACAACAAACATAAACTTCCTTCGGGTAGAGCTGTGCACAACTGTAAACAACATTGCAGAACATATTGGAAGTGAACCTACAACACACACAGGTTTGTAAATCATTCAAGAACTTTTCAATTTTAAAGACATTTTCAGGAAAATAAAGATTCAATTTTTTTTATAAAATTAGCTTGACAGATTTTAATAACTAGTTCAGCATTTTTGTATGTAATGACTCAAGAAATGAAATGAGGACTATTAGTTTTATATGGAATGGCTATTCAGCATTCACAAGTTTAGTTCATTTTGACTGACATGACATAAGCAAATGATAATGTTATAAATAGCAGAGAGTTGTATAAAAGCAATTGATGCATGTCCAAAATTATTTGCAATTTGTTGGAAGGAAACTGGTACTAGGATGTGCACAAATGACTAAATGTTTTGAGAAATGCATTAACTGTTGTGCAAATGAAAATAATGTTGTAAGAAATGCACCAAAGCCACTGAGGAAAAACTGTAATAAACTCAAACCAGGCAAATCACCTGGATCAGTTGGCTATACTATACAACAGAATGGTATAAGGAATTTAGAAATCCACTAATTTCTATCATACTTCCTACATTTAATTGGGTTCTAAAACAGGCACAAACCCCACCTAGCTGGAAAGAGGCAATAATATCAGCCATACCAAAAGAAGGCAAAGATCAGATAAAATGTGGGTCCTTCAGATAGAATATTTACCTCTATTATGTCAAAGCGAATGGAAGAACTTATGCAGGTTTTATAAGACTACGAGGAACACATGAAAAAATAAGGAGAACACTACACATAATGAATCATATACAAAAAATAACATTGAATCAATTATCATAAGTATTGATGCTGAAAAAGCATTTGACTCAGTTGATTGGATTTTCCTCTACAAAGTATTACTCAGATTGTTTTCAATAACTCGAATCAGCGACCTTCTTGCCGTGAGGCGACAGTGCTAACCACTGAGCCACTGTGTCGCCCCTAATTTTGGACTAAAATAAAATTTATTATAAAGAATTTTCAAAATTATTCCCACAGGGACCTGATGATTAGTCGGTTTCACCGCCCGCACTTAGTAAGTGCAGCATCCAGTAAGTGGTCTCCAGTTTTGATGGATGCAGCACTTGGGGAATATTAAAGGAAAGAATTCAAATCTTACAGGAGAGCTAATCATTTTGCTTTCAACTGAACTGTATGTAATATCTTTTTTGATAAACGCCACTTGGCTATAATTTGTTGGAATATAACAATAATCTACTTTGAATGTCTAATTATTGTTTTTTTTTCTCATTGGACATAAAGGGAAAACATTACATATAAGATTATTAATCATTTTTACCATGATGCAGAGAGACTATTATTATCTCAAACAACCGATAACGAATTTAACATTTAACACCTCTGCCACTTGAGATGAACATGGAGTGAGTCTGTGTCTGTGAATGCTGATGCCATGAAAAGGCAGCAACAGTCTCAGAGGTGTACGTTTCTCACCACATGAAGGACCTGAAAAAACAGGGTGATGGAAAAGGCCCTCAGGGGGTTATAAGCCCTTAACATGCACCTGATCCACTTAACACATGTGATTTATATTTACTATATAAAACTGGCTGCCAGTGGCTGGTAAGTGTATTGTTTTTTTTGTCTTTATCTGATGATTAATATATTGTACGCTCTCAGAAATAAAGATATACGAGATGTCACTGGGGTGGTACCTTTTCAAAAGATTCAAATTAGTACCTAAAATGTCCATTTAAATACCTCAATGGTACATATTAGTACCTAAAAGGTACAAAAGTGTTCCTCTTAAATTTTTTAGGTACTATGGACCCTTTAGGTACAAATGCGTAGCTTTTGTAAATGTACCACCCCAGTGACAGCTCGCCTACCTTTATTTCTGAGAGTGTACACTGTGCTTTAGAAAACTCAAGCATTAATGAAAACTCTCACTAACCACTTTAATAGGTACATCTTGTTTGATTGGGCCCTATTTTCATTTCACTGCTGTCTTAGTTTTTAGCATGTATTCAGTGAGGTGCTGGAAACATTCCTCAGATATTTTGCTCCATAATGACATGATAGCTTCACACAGTTGCTGTTAATTGCACAGTTGCAAATGTGAGAATAAGGCAAAAACAGTGTGTCACCATGAGGGGAAACTCCAGTCATAGTGTCCACAAAATCTTTAAACATCCATACACACTCATTCACACACATTCAATTCACCTATAGCGCATGTCTTTGGACTGTGGGGGAAACCAGAGCACCCGAAGGAAACCCACACGGACAAAGGGAGAAGATGAAAACTCCACACAGAAATGCCAACTGGCCCAGCCTGGACTCAAATCAGTGACCTTCTTGCTGTGAGCCATGTTGCTCAGTGTACATTATGCTACAAATTATATTAAAATGTTTTCTCACCAGGTCAAGAGTAGTTTTCTCCAGAACGTCCACCAGCTTCTCCAGCTTTGTGTTTGCACTGAAGATAAAGTCATCATCCACCCACAGCACATATTTGGTGGTGACCTGTGACACGGCCAGATTACGCCCAGCAAACCAGCCCTGAGACACAAGCATACACATTCAGATCCCCTCTTACAACATGAGAAAATGGTTTTACACTCAAGAAAGTCAAGAAAGGAACCTACCTTTCCAAAGGGCATGATATAGTGTTCAATATATGGGCCTGACACAGTTTTTGGGTGTTCACTGTCATCCGCTATTACTATTGTAACCGTTGGATAGTACTGTCGTATGCTGTCAATTAAATTCTGAAGCTTGTCATAGCGCAGGAAGGTTTTGGTTGCAATGGTTACAAGAGCGCTGATGTTATACTCTGAAATTAAACAAACAGAATATTTTTACATGACATACAGATAACAAATAAAACAAATAAATTATATAGAAATAATAACAACATTCCTTTGCCATGAAGAAGTGCAAATCTGATGATGCCTCAAATAAACAAACAATAAACTGAATTGCAGCAACATAAAATAACTTATTTATTTATTGTGCATATTTTAATGGATTTCTATTTTATTTTAAAGATATTTTACAATGTGATAAATTCAAAAGTCTCATTTATCATCACTTCAGTTTTTGTATGATCCTTCAATAATCAATCTAATATGCGCATTCTTATTAATATAAATACTATAAAAGCTGTTTAACAAAGCTTGTTAGTCATTACAAGGGCCAGACAGAATCTGTGGACATTTTTGCTATTTCTGCTGAAAATATTGTAAAAAATCTGCAGATTTATGAGAAATGATTTTGGGAATATCATAACTGAAAACTTAATATTTTAAAAAAATTAAAAAATACCTTTTTAACTTTTACTTAATGTTTACAATGCAAATCCAATGAGATTTGGTACTTATTTGGTGAACAAAGCAAGTCTCTCATATAATATACCTGCGAGAAGACAGAAAATATTACTGTAAACTGTACTGTAAATAAATCATATGAACATTTTATTATGACTATTATTATATATATATATATATATATATATATATATATATATATATATATATATATATATATATATATATAATTTATTATAATTATAATATATTATTTATTATAATATATTATATATTATATTACAATAATATTAGTGAAATTAATTAAAAAACTGAATAAATTTAAATTTACACACATTTACACAAGTAAAAACATAGACTCGATGGGCTAAAAATCTGCAGGTTTGGTCTTAGCCATCACTAACAAAATAATAATAATTTTAAAAAAAAAGGTTTTGAAAAAAAAATAATATTCATATTTATAATTATTTAAATAACGTTGTCAGTTCTGATGTTACTATAAATGATCGACAGATTTCACAACAGAAAAAAAATCCTCTGATCTTGGAGCTGTTTGACATTAAACAAATGTAAATGTTCATATAAAATATATTAGCTGATCTAAAGCAGGTCTAATTTAGCATCTTACATCATATCGGCACAGAATGTGTGTTACCAAATTAACTAAAGCTTGATTTTTCCCATGATGATAAATGCATTAACTCCACCATGTTTTGATGTCACAAAAATATTTACTTTAGTGTTATATATAAATATGATGTATTTATAACCAGCTTTTATTACTATATATTCAAAATGTTTTTGTTAGCTTGTGTCTCTTTTTAAATGCAAATGAGTTGCTGCTCCTTGCTCCCTTTTAGAAAGAGGGTGGAGTCTTTTGTCTCACTTACTCAAGCAATACAAATCAAAATATCTGTATGCATTTAAGCTTTGTTCATTTAATTTCTTTTTGTTCAGTCTCTTTAGTTCAATATATATATATATATATATATATATATATATATATATATATATATATATATATATATATATATATATATATATATATATACACTAGAGTTTTGCGCATTTTTACAGCAAAACAAGAATTGACACAAATAAACTTTTTCACCTTTATCTGCATCAGAGCCTGTGTTGTAGAGTTTGGGTGTGACTCCATGACGGATCTTGATGGTGAAAAGAGCCTGATGTCCTTCTGTGTCTAACTGCACTGAATCACAAGCACATAAAATCTGCATATGAAATAAAGATCATCCAGTCCGGTTTTTACATTAACATGTCATATACTGTACATTGGCCAGCATAAATGAGAATATACTAACAGATCTCGCTTTTAAATAAACAATTTCTATGGTGCTATACAAGAGGTTTATGGGCAAATCTGGTTTGTTGCTTTTACATTAGATTGGCCAAAACTGGAAAAAAGAACTAAGAAAATATTACAATTACGAGAGTTTACATTTTGTAGTTTTTTTGTTGTTGTTTTTGCAACACACTTTTAATTAAATACATTAAATTAACATATATATTTAATAAATATGATTACTAATAAAAATAATAAAACACTTTTGAAAGAATGCACTAATATTTGACTCATTCTAGATTTGTGGGTACATTTCAGGTATTTTACCATTCACTTTCCATAAGCTGGAATGACAATGACATACAACAAATGTATAAAAACCGTAAAACTTAATACATTATTAATGTAAAATAATGCCAAATGCGTAAAAAATACTGATTCTAGTTTGAATTATTGTTATCAATTAATCTGACACAGACTCCGTGTGCAAGGTTTGTTTAAGTGACAAATTTTTCACATATGAATACAAAAAAAAAATGCTTCAGCGACTTCAGCGTGCAAAGACCTTAACAGACTAAAAATAACATCTAAACAAAATCTTTTAATTTTTCACATGACCTTTAATCTGGGCACTGTATGTGTTTTATTTTTCCAGAAATTACCCAGAAGCTGCACACATACCTGTGTCTGCTGTGCTGGGGTGGAACAGTGTGTTCGTATATGTGATGAACTGGAGCTGTCGATTGAGACTGGACAAAACACTGCTGCTCAGAGTCATGTGCATCTCGCCGTCACCCCTGACCTTCACCCCCTCCACCTCTGCTGCCACATTAAACGTGCCCAGAGATGCTGAAAAATTGAGCTTCAGAGGAAGACCAAAACAATGAGTGTACAGGGACCTTCAAACAACACACAAGCACAGGAAATAGACATCAATTATTTATAATGCCACTCACAGTATAGACATCTCGGGGCAGCTCTTTTAAGGCCAAACCTGAAACACATTACAGTCAAGTAATGTTACTGCTCAGCCTCTATAACCAAATAAAAATCCACTCACAACTGGCCTCAGTTACAGACACAGTCCATTCAGTAATGCAATAACGTGTGCTTTCAGATCTGCTTTTGGAGCTGCGTTATTATTTGTAAATGAGTGAAAAATAAACTAAATGAGTGTTCCCCTCATCTACGAAAAAAATAATACTACTACTTTACTACTACTTCTACAAATAATGATGTACTACTTTACATTCAGAAGTGCAAAATTATCATTACTAAATGACTAAATAAATAAAGTAAAATTTATTGCCTATAAATGTTTTTTTTTTTTCAATTGTAAAAATAAATTCATTAATTATTTTGAAGGTTAACAAGAATATAATTTTAATACTATTGACCAACTAATTATTTAATAAAAATGACAATCAATTTCATGTATATAATAATAATAATAATAATAATAATAATAATAATAATAATAATAAATATTATTATTATTATTATTATTATTATTATTATTATTATTATTATTATTATTATTATAAATGATAATTTTATTATTATTATTAATTTTGTTATTATTATTATTATTACTTATTTATAAAATTATTATTATTATTATTATTATTATTATTATTATTATTGTTGTTGTTGTTGTTGTTATCACTTATTTATTAATAAAATTATTATTATTATGATTATTATTGTTGTTGTTGTTGTTGTTGTTGTTGTTGTTACTTTCATTCAACAGCACCTCTAGTGTCATCACAGCTTTTCAGTTGTACAGTAAAGTTTATCCACATCTATAAAAAAAAAGCGTGAAATACCTGGTATAAGGATGGTTTTAAGTGGCCGAACCTCCACACCCTGCGTTGGATATTGCAGGGGGTTGTTAGCTTCAGCTACAATCAGCAGATCAGCAGGGGTCTGCGACCTATAGTAAACACAAGGGCGTAGATTTAACATGGTCGGAGGGGACGCGTCCCCACTAATATCCACCAAATATTAAAATGTCCCCACCGATAATTTCATTCACAAAAAAAAAAGAATTGCGCAGTCAATCAGTGGCGTAGATTTGCTCTTGACATTGGTGTGAACATTTTTTAGTCCATATTATTAACAGTCTATGTAAGCCTGCTATAATATCAAAGCAGAGAAAACACTAGCATTAGGTTTACCGTTATAACGATGGACTCATTCAGTAGTGAAGTTGAAGTTATGTTACTTTTCATTAAAAAATACTCCTTATATCCACTTTTTTTTTTTTTTGCTGCCACCTTCCTTACGTGTCCTCCACCTCATTCACTGGGAAATGGCTCTGTTACATCTGAACGCAGCTACAGTCTCTCACATGATAGCAGTGATATGCACAGGCAATCACGATGTCCATATGTGTTTGGGGGTGTTACAATTCAACTAGAGAATGTGATTAAACCCTCTGTCCATGCCCAGGTTTATGTTGAAAGTGCAATTATTTTTACTGAATTAAATAATAGGTCGAGACATTTCAACAGTCAGTGGATATTGGTGGGAACACTTCCCCTCCATCCATGACTATTCTACGCCCCTGCAGTCAATATTAACCTAGACATGCAGAAAGAGTTAAATCAAATTCTCTCCTTGACTCGCACCTCCCCTAAACACACATGAACATTGTGATTGGCTGAGCCTTTCCCTGCTTTCATGTGAGAGGCTGTATCTGTGTTCAGATACAAGCTGCGCCAAAACTGCAAAGGGGAATTTTCTGTGCAAGAAGAAGGTATATGAGGTGTGTGACACACACAAGTGGGGATGGCAGCAGCCAAGAAAAGTGTAGTTAACATAAACTCAAGTTCGTCACTGAAGAAACCATCATGATAATGACCTTAATGATGGCGTTTTCCCCCCACTTTAATACACAGTCTAACGTAATAGTAGACTGATATAGTCTGTGAATAATTTGCCCTGGTTGATTCACCATTTTGATTCCCCACCGTCAAATGCAAACCTACGACCTTGATAAACACATATAAAAGTGAAATCCTAACCACTTTTACTGCTTGAAATAATAAAACATGACTTGATATAAAAAAACTTCCTAATATAATCCTGTATCCGCTAGTTGTTAAGGCATTTTTTGAAGTAAAATTTCTAATAAAATATTACTAAATATACTAAAAAGCTGAACTAACATTTAAGAATAACTGTCCAGATAAATAAAAACACTCATAAAAATACCTAAAATTCTTAAAACGATAACTGAAATTTTTGTATAAATTCAAATAAAATGAAGCACATTAACCAATACAAAAAAATGTATATCAATTACAGTAAAATGCATGCAATAGAAACACATCGATTTGTTTATCAAAACATTAACAAATCCTGTTCTATACATTATTTATGTTTGTTTTGTGTTATTTTTATTATTCATACATTTCAGTTCAAAGATAAAATAAGATGGATTGAATAAAATACAAATTATTACTGAATAAAATGCATTTAAATAAAACAAGAACTTATTCAAACTAGTAAAACTAATCTAGTTAGTTTTTTTTTATTTTATAAAACAAATAAGGCATTTTCTTGTAATTTTTCTTGACAACTAGCAATATTCTGCTAATATTTTATTTAAAATTTGAATAAATAAAAAAATAAAAATCCATTCCTTAAAATGTTTTATAATCAGATATTCTGTTATATACAAATTATTTAAAAATATGTATGGGGCAACATTTACTGACAGCTTGTGCCAATGCAAACCCTTGTGGAGAGTTAAATAATGGTCGGACGTTTAGACCGAATAAAAAACTGCACTTTAAAAAATGTTGGGTCATTTTAACCTAAATCTGGGTGTACTAAACCAACAGCAGGGTTCATTTTTAAAACTAAAGCAATAGGACCGAATTTAACCCAATGTTTGGGTTAGTCCATGTTTTACCCAATTTTAAATAAGCCACCATTTTTTAGAGTGTGGAAGGTTATTTTTAAAGCTAACAAATTCATATATTCCAAAAAAAAACATGAATAAAAAAGGTTATCAGAGTACATTTTTATAAGAAAATACATTTACTTTAAAATTAATGTGGAGCTCAAGGTATAACTGTTAAGAAATGAAGCGAGTATCATCTAGAGCAGGGGTGTCAAACTCAATTCCTGGAGGGCCGAAGCCCTGCACAGTTTAGTTCCAACCCTGCTCCAACAAACTTACCTGTAGGTTTCAAACAAGCCTGAAGGACTCAATTAGTTTGATCAGGTGTTTTTAATTAGGGTTGGAACTAAACTGTGCAGAGCTGCAGCCCTTTTGGAACTGAGTTTGACACCTCTCCGAGGTCGGCTTTTATTTAACACCCCAAAAACCATGACTACATCAGTTTTGCACCGGCTTTAATAATAGAACACATCTGATTATCGGCTTCGCTATTCGCCACCTATTATGTGCTAATATTATATAGGTCATTATGGAAATGAGCTGTTATGTCTGCTGTGGTCTTTAATTTACACACTGTCGATAGAAAAACACTCCAGAACTTTACACTCTTATCTGCAAGGTTATAAGATCACTCTAAATTGTCACATTTAGTAAATCTGGCCCAATTAATGGTTGCATTTTTATTTGATAGTCCACTTTTAGGAATTGTTTTAAGTATATACTAACTAGAGTAACTATGAGTAAAGTATTAAAATTAGGCTAGGGTTAGGGGTAGTAGAATAAACTGGCATGTATAAAATAGCAAAGTCACTTGTAAGTCACTTATAGCAAAGATTATAGAATACACTTGAGGTCAGGGCTCGGTACAGACACATGCTCTTTATTACAGTTTCTGCAGCTTCATTGTTATAAACCCTATCAGTAAAACGCACCTCATTTGGAAGCTCTGGTACTCTTTGGCACGGCGTTTCTTCATCTCATCGAGCTGCGAGGCCTGGAAGGCAGTGTGCAGGGGATGAGCTGAGACTCTGGGGAACAACAGCTGAGCGAAGGGCAGGTTGACCCCTCTGCTCTCTCCTTCACAAACACAGCCGTTACGAGCCAAAAGCCTTGTGGAGGAGAAGAAGAGTTAGCACATTACTGTAAATCACATCATCAGTCTGACAAGTATCACTCGCAAATATTAGTTTACTGAGATATCATTGTCCAGATTTATGGGCAACCCAGCAATACTAGTAAACCAAGACTTTGATAATCGACTAGTTTATTTGATGGCATAAACATCAAAACATAATTCATACATCTAAAACATCTCATTTTTAGTGGAATATTTAAATTATGTTGGTTGTCATATTAAATAAATGATTAAATTCTGATATAGTATCCTCTCATATTGCGACATTATGACTGTAGCACTTCTATTTCTGCGGCACAAGATAAGAACACTCCATCACTCACTCCAGGATCCGCAGACCAAAGTTGGCCCATTGTAACCTTTAATAAGGCCCACCATCCCATCTGAGAGGAGAGTGAGTATGATGGAGAAGGTTGGGACGAATGCCTTTGACACAGAGATCTTAATTTCTAATTTGTTGTAACTTTTTTAGTTTGTTTTGTTGCTGAGCTACAAAAATAAGCAAACTAAAATGAAATGTTTCAATTAAATGTTGTAAACTAATCAGATTTTTAAAAATGTAAACACTGTCACTCTACTATGCAGAGGACATCGGCAAGCAAATCAGGGCAAAAACAAGTGCAATTTTGTTATAAATTAGATTGTTTTGTTTTTACTGTAATTAATTCTGTATAAAATGTAATACTGTAAAAAATACTGTATTAGTTAATATAAAACAATGTTAGTCATTCTTAAACATTATTAAATACATTAGGAAATTACACATGGTAAATTACCCCACCTATATTTGCCTTCAGTCCACTAACCTTAGTCAAGTTTGGTTTTTGGCCCTTCATAAGAAATAGTTTGGGCTTCCCTGCTCTACACTGTTAGACTTTGCAGCAATTTTACAGTTTTTTACTGCAAAATGGCCAGTAATGGCCAGGTTCACTGTAATATGCACTGCATTGTGGATAATTGTAAAACTTTTACAGTAACTAACAGCATATTAGGAATTTGCGCTATTACTGTTCTTACTGTAGTTGAAGACAAAAGTGGGACAGTTGATGAAAAAAATATGAATTAACAACTTGTATCACAAAATGTATTTAAAATAGATAGATGAATGAAAATTTCTTTTGTAAACCTTTTAAAATGCATATAAAAACAATGAATAATTAAAATTATGTTGTACATGATCTCGTCACTTGTTTGGAATTTGCATAGAACATTTGCTGGATAAGTTGGCAGTTCATTCTGCTGTGATGACCCCTGATAAATAAAGGGACTAAGCCAAAAAGAAAAGATCCACCCTTCCTGCCACAACGCAGCCCTGAGAGTGCAACTCATGCTTGATAAAACATGCTTTTACAATTCTTTGGGGCAATAAAGGATCTTTTCTCTATTACAGCCAACCATTGTTCAGCCTTAATGTGCTAAAATCCATTGTATTACACAAGTGAATTATAATCAACTAAAACAGAGAGCAGGTTGTTGGAGTAACATACTTATGGCATTTACTCCGATAAAGGAAAAACAGTTGATGCATTAATATGACCATGTGTATTGTCAGCTAATTTAGCAGATTCATCTTAAGAAATGCATGAAACTGCACTCAATGAGCTTTTGACCTGCGGGAATTTATTTTTTCATATTTTCTTTTAAAGAAAATGATTTTGTTCATCTGTTCACATTTATTAAATGTTTAAAAAGTTAATTTGTTAAATGCTTGTTAAACTTTTAATTAACTGTTTTCTTATTGTTTGTCATTTCAAATGAAATTATTACTCCAGTCATTATTGCTTTTATTACTATTGCAATTAATAATAACAATAATAATTAATATTAGAGTGATTTCTGAAGGATCATGTGACTCTGAAGGCTGGAGTGATAAAGCTGAAAATTCATCTTTAAAATCACTGGAAAAAAATTTAATTAAATTCTAAACTACTTTTAAATAGCAATTTAATACATTTCATAGTTTCACAGTCTGTGCTGTATTTTTTATTAAATAAATGCAGCCTTGATGAGCAGAAGAAGCTTATTTTAAAACATTTAAAAATCCTACTAACCCCAAACTTTTGACCGGTAGTGCACTGTATGTATCTGTGTATAATTTTAAATGAATACCTTATTAAAAAATTTCTGTGTGAATGTAACCCTTATTATTTTAAAACTGCCAAGTTTATTCTCCCAATAAAAAAATATTACATATATTTAAAGGGTTTAATTCAAACTTATTATCAGAGTCTTGAAATATAGCACCTTTCAGACATTTTTGGCCACTAAACAAAAAAAAATTCAATTTGGATATTTAAAAATATATATAATTAACAAAACAATAATAACACACAGAATTTAATTATGTTTTTAAACTGAACTTTGCCATCACATTGATAATTAAAATGGAAAATATATTAAACAGGAAACTGGTACAGGTGCACTTTAAAAAATTTATTGATTTTTTGTTTTGGTGATTTTAACTTTTTTACTGATTGCACTTTTTTTCGAATGATACCACATACCAACATATTACAGCAAAGACTGAGATCAGAAGTGAGAAAAAAAAATCAGTTAACCCCAATTCACACTACTTTAACTGATGGCAACAACATAGACCATCACCAGATTACAGTATGTCAATTCTCTGCATATGAAAAGAGTGTGTCTCCTACAATTGGTTTTTCATGAAACACTCAGAAACGCACAACATTTTTCCAGAAATATAGAGTGATTAATTAGGTGTCTGGTGTATATGGGAGGGGAAAAAAAGTGTCTCCAAACGAAGTGTCTATTGGCGTCTGTTGGTGCACAGTAAAATGGCCTTTATTTGCAGACATTAAAGGCTTTACATGTCTCCTCAGTCTGCTCTGCTTGAACTAATGAAACATAGAAAAACATAAATCAGATATGAAGACTCACTGACCGTGCCACACTCTCCCTGACGCGGTACGGGATGGTGCTGGCGCTGGGGTCCAGTTCGGGAAGTCTCTCCTCCAACAGCCGCTCAGCTCCAGGACCTGGTCTATACCGGACATCCACGGTACTGTAGACCCGTGTGGGCCACGAGTGGAGCACTGCCAAAACCAGCACCACTGATGCTACCAGAGCTAACAGCACTGTCTTACGTAGGGAACGCATGCTACAAACTAAAACACACATAAATACAAAGCGTTAAAACATCATTCAGTGAAATTAAATTACAGTGAACTGAAACTGTAGAGGTTCTTCATGTGAAACTTCATCTAAATTAACTAATGAGTGTAACTTTTTTTTATTTATCAATTAATGACATTTTTGGAATATTTGCCAATCTTGTTCAATAAAAAGTCAGGAGAGAATTTTCTTAAATGCAAAAGTATTAGCAATTTATTAGATACAAATGAATAATTCGATATAGACCCCGTTTACACTGATGCGTTTTAGATCGAAAACGATCCACATCCACACTTGCCTTTCATCTAGCGTTTCTGAAAATATCTCCGTCCACACTATGTCACAGAATACACACATCACGTGGCCACACACACACACTGGCATACACTGTAGCGTATGCAAATGTCTGAGCTCCAGGCAGTCAGCGAGTTTTTTCAGCACACCTCCCTGGGTGAGAGCAGCACTCGTCGCACAGTTCATCAAGGATATACCACTGGATCTCATCTCACTATAGTTATTAATGTGATTATTTAGTTCATCTTGTCTTTATCTAACGACTCATTGTTTTTTTTAACCTATTACTTGTTCTCAGGTAACGTGTTTTGGCTGAGTGCAAAGATTAGTGTTAGGTCCCGTGTGGGACCTGTTTGTTGTGGTTCTTTTTTGCAGAGTCAGCATGATTGCTGATTTGTTGGTGGGTCATCTCACCTGAGACCCATTAGGTGGTGCCTATAAAGAGTCCAACACTTGACATAAGAAGAGAGCTCAATTAGCCAGACTTCTCTGCCTGGTGTTTTGATTATTTTATTTTGTTTTGGATCATGAGCTCAGTTCACCACCATGCAAACGCTTTTCAATATTGACCTCCATTTATACTAACTTTGATTGCTTTAAATAAATTTGTTAATTATGCCTTATTGTTAATAAATCACTTCTGTTTTCAATTTACCTGGTCCGCATTGTCTCTCTTATGTTACAATTTTGAGCCGGTTGTAACATAATAAATTAATATAATAATGTAACCACGTACACTGATTCTAAACATTTGACTGATTGCTTGTCTTTATTTCCTATAATGTATGAACTTAATGTACATTATACTTCTATAACATTGATTATTATTGATTATTAAAACTAATGTTCATCAAAAGAGAGGGTATGTTTAAAAATTTTTAATGAAAATGAAAGAAGCAATCATGTTATAGGCTTTGTTTTGTTAAAAATATGCATACAGTGAAGATGACGATCATATAAACATGTAGCACGATGCCTCAACATTTGTGGTATCTGTTAAGTAATATGAAAATGAAAACAGGCAGTTGCTCATATAATATTTTCAGTTTATTGTTAAGAAAGTGAAACAAACATCGTAGCCAGGGTGAAGTAAATGACGTTATAAAGTACACTGTTCCATTTAAATATTTACCTGACGTGTCCTCGGGAGTTTGTTTTCCATATCAAACTTGCGAAGTCTAATTAGGCAAGTTATTGTATAACGATGGATTGTTCTGTAGACTATTGAAAGAAAATATAGCTTAAAGGGGCTAATAATATTAACCTTAGAATGGTTTTTAATCAATTAAAAGCTGCTTCGATTCTAGCCGAAATAAAACAATTAAGACTTTCTCCAGAAGAAAACATGTTATCAGACAAACTGTAAAAAAAATTTCCTTGATCTGTTCAACAGAATTTGAGAAAAAAGAAAAAATAATTCAAAGGAGGGCTAATTATTCTGACTTCAACTGTACACATATGAACATGACACAGCTACATTTACATAATAAAAAAAAAAAAGTCAAACAGGTGTTATTGTAACTGTGTTTGTGAGTTGAAGTTTTTAGAAGTTAGAATCAGTGACTATGTTTATATGGACAGCAGCAATCAAATTATTTGCCTTAATCTGAATAAGACAATTATATAATTAAGGTGTTTACATGAGTTGCTTTTTGAATGTACCTTTCATGATCCTGCACATAATTCGATAAACGTCATTGCGTCACCACGCTTTCCATGTTTCCTCCAGAGTTTAATTTCAGTTGTTTCATTTATAATTTATTAACTTTAACTGCAATTTGGCACTTTCACCTTCATTCAGGAACATTTCATGCCCCCCCACCATACCGGTGTTTACATGTCTGTACTGCACTTCAATAATGGGACTAAAATCGGCATACTCCACATGTCTTAAAGTCATAATCGAACTAAACAGAAATTTATCGAAACTTATCGGTAGACTCTTGATCAGAGTATTGTCTTAATCATATTAAAATCGGTGTCCATGTATACTTACTTATTGTGTTAGTCTTAAGGATATTTATATGTTAAGATATAAACATCCAAAGCTTAAATGAATCACCTCATATCTCAGTTATATCAAAGTTTCTCCACAAATCTTCTGGCCAATCAAATGCTCTCTAGTATCTGACAGGTCTCGCCCCCTCCAAGATGTTATTGCTATATGTGCTTGAGTTCAATCACTCTAATTAGCAGAGCTGTGATAAAAAATGCTATTGGCTGTTTTTTTTTTAAGAGGAAGAGCTCACCCTTCTTCAGCTCAAATTATACCTCAGGATCAAACAAAAATGACAATTTCAAAGCACTTCAACATGTCCCTTAACTGGAAGTGTTTATTTGAGATATTAGCACTAAATGGCCATTCTACATATTAAGTATTCAAACATAAACAATATTACACACTGTGCTATTTTTGGTGTATGCAGTGTAGACAGAATTATTGACTGTAATGAGTTTGACTGTTTTTAGATGCATTGTGCAACTTACATTAATTGTAGATAGAAGTATTTTACTAATTACTAAGATACTCACTCAGTCCAGTCAGAGCGTGAGGTGCTGTAAGTTGCCATTCCTGCTCCTAAAGGTCCATGGTACTGACTGACTCAATCCTGATGTGACTGACAGTAGCTGATGAAGCTGATGGAGGGCTTTCTCCATCTGCTGAGGTAAAAGAAAAACCTTGGTCATGTCAGCTGCACTGCATTCCTTTACAAGTGTATTACTGTACATAAAAGCAGTACAATCTGTTCATTCACTGTATTCTAAGTCTTCTAAAGGTATAACACTTCACACAGGCTAGGTTATTGGGAAATTCTCATATACTGACACAATGTTGTACCTTTTAATTTTGCACAAGAGTCAAATATAATAATTTGGATGAAACGGAACAATGCAACATCAACATGTTTTCATAGAAATTTAGTGTCATCCTATTACAGGTATAACACAAAATGATCTACTATTTTTGTCATGTTTGGCATTGAGTGTCTAATGTTGTTATGCTTGACACTAAAAATAAAATAAACAGGGTTTTGTGGTTGAGTGTTGAAGAGTAGACTTCATAAAGGTAAAGTTTATACGGAAATCTGCAAAAGCAATGACTTATTAGTTCCAGAGACACAACTCAACTCAATTTTTGTTTGTTTGTGTATTGATTTATTTTGAGTAATTAGTTTAAAAGAGTGATATTTTAAATGACTAATTAGGTTTGTTTGTTAATTATTTTGGCTTTGCAACTGTTTAAATGTTGCGATGTTTGAACAATATCTCACAGCTATTTGTAACTTTTGTATTTAGTGGCTAATTTGTGTGTTTATAGGTTAATGTTTGTATGTTTAGGGGTGGACTTTGGTGCCACATCTCCTTTTAAAAATTTTACATTTATGTATGACTGGACTTGTAAGAATTCATATGAATTAGCCACTAAACTGACAAAACGTGAAATGGGGCTAAAGCCTTTAGGGCTTTATGGGTGATCAGCTGGCCAACATCTCCAGGTTTGAGATAATTTCACCTGTGTGATCCCACTTCTGACATCAGCTGTAATGCAAATTATTTTCTTCCCATTCAATACATTTTAATATGAAGACTGAAATTGAATAAAAATCTGACAAAGTTTGTCTTTTTATTGCTCTAATTCTCTGGAAAATGATCAGTTTACACACAGCCAAAGAATCCCAAGGGTGGACTCTCAGACAATGTTACAATGTTTTAGATAAGGCTACAGCGTCTTAACTCTTAAACAACCATCAGATTACACATGGCTGTAATAGACCAATGATTATAATGCATTTCATCTTTACTTTAGCAAAGCCTTAATTCATTTATCATTCATTCATTTTCTTGTCGGTTTAGCCCCTTTTATTAATCCGGGGTCACCACAGCGGAATGAACCGCCACCTTATCCAGCACGTTTTTACGCAGCGGACGTCCTTCCAGCCACAATCCATCACTGGGAATAATTAATTTATAATATTCATATATAATTGTCAATGAACAATATATAATCATCAATCAATAAAATTTTCATCTTTATTTCTATAGCGCTTTTACAATGTAGATTGTGTCAATGCATCTTAACATAGAAGTTCTAGCAAATTGAAACAGTGTCAGTCCAGTTTTCAGAGATGAAGTTCAGTTTAATTCAGTTCAGTGTGGTTTAAATTTCACCACTGAAAGTCCAAACACTGAAGAGCAAATACATCTCCACAAGTCCCAAACCAAGCAAACCAGTGGCAAAGGTGGTGAGAAACAAAACTTCACTAATTGCTGAAAGTGAAGGAAAAGAGACCAGGCTCAATATTAAACATTTCTATCAAACTCTTGAGATCAGGCTGGTCTTTGTGAAACATCACAGAAAATATTTTTAAGTGCGAGTATATTTTGCTGTTTGCAAGCTAACAAAGATGGTACTACTATAAGGTTGTTAATAATTATAAGTGATCACCTCAATGTCTTTTCAATTACCAAACTCAAAAGGCAAAATTAGTAGAAGCAAACTAGTCAAACCGGTTAACTGCAATAAGTTATGCAATTAGGTCTACTAATAAACACAAAATAATTTCTGTTTATCTTTTTGTTTATTAAAGGACTTGTTTAAAAAAAAAACGTTTAACCATTTAAAACTTAATAAAAATTACAATTCTATCAAAAATCCTTATCCTTAAGTTGTTCCAAACCCATATACCCACAAGAAATGTTTACATGACTGGAACAACTTGAGGATGAGTAAATAACCGAAGTGTGAACTACCTAACACAATCTCACAGCATTTCGCAACTGTTTTGTTTTAGTGGTTAATTCATATGAGTTTGTACAATCTCATTTATACAATTTATTATGATTTGCTTATCCCCCAATGACGTTTGGGTTTAGGGGTGGGGCTGGGTGCCACGCCTCCTTTTAAAAATTGCACATTTTCGAACAATTGATCTCGTACAAAATAATACAAATTAGCCACTAAACTGACAAAATGTAAAATAGTTATGTTTCCTCGTGCGATCAGGCTGAAACTATCCCTTTATCATACACTGCAATGATAAATGAAACACTAGTTGATTAAATGTGCAATGTTGAGAAAACAAGCACACCTCTAAACGTTTTTAAATGTGATGTGTAATCATTCAAAGCCCACTTTCTGAATTAATACAAACATTAATAATTAGAAGAAGAATCAGTAAACCGTAAATAGGCCGGCTTTGTGTAAATAAGGTGTAATTTAATCATGTAATCTCCTAAAAGTAACTGTAATCTTATGATTAACATTTTAAAGCATAATACAATCTGGTGACAAGTACTTAATCCGATCACATAATCCATATTGCAATTATTAATTTACCAGTCAGCACTGCTAAGCTAGCACCATTGCTAAAGGCTTTTCTTTGGTAATACCACTAATTGACCCACAGCTTTCCCATCTCACTCCTGAGACTCTGGTTCATTTGTTAACCATATTGTACATTACCAGCAAGCACATTTAAGAGGAAGCAGATGTGGTTTTCTTTTTCTTTTTTCAATATTAATCTTTTAAATGTTTTTAAAATGATAAATGTGTGATTTCCAATAGCATCACTTTTTTCCAATTATGTTTAAACTATTATATTTGTCATTTTCAGGATCAGTTAACTGTATTAGTTATTCATTTTAGTGGTAATCCCCCAGTTTCTAATGATCAGTCTTTAAGCCACCATTAATCTGATTTGTGCAATTTTGGAAGAACAATAGTTATGAGAATATAAAATATAAGAAGAATGTTAAATGCTTATAAAAAATTAAGGAATTTGCTCTCCTTGACACAATGAGAAACAAAAATGATTTATTTAACCAGCAAACAGAATTAGGCCACTGCATGATGGTAAACATTGACATGTTGATATACTTTCTGTATGCTGAACTGTTGACAAAAAGTCAAAACTGCTAATAAAATAACAATCATGAATAATGTTTTGTTAAAAAAAAATAAGATCATAAAAAAAAAATCACAATTACAAGCATTGTCTTTGATGCTTACTAAATGTTAGCTCTTCTAGGGCTTAGGAAGCAATTCAAACTAACTACTTCAATAAAAAAACATTAAAAGCTATTGGTTATAATAAACATGTTGTTCAAGGGGGATATATTAGCAATATTCTCAAAGATCTAATAAAAAGTTTACTTATTTATCGATTTTATTAATTTTTTTTTCTCTTTAAAGATGAATTTTCACCATCATCTCTTCACTCTTCAGTGCCACAAGACAGCAGATTTGCTGATTTTAAAAGAATTATTGTCATTCTTATGGTATTAGGTTTAATAACTTCTGCTTAACATTTTTGAAAATAGAAACTGATACATATTAAATAAAAAGATTAAAATACCAGTATATTTTAAACAAAATGTTACTTTTGTAAGTAAATGTATTACAGTTGCAAAAAAAAAACATGGAACAGTTTAGTTCAGGTTTTTCCTGAAGGCTGATGTCACAATGAAAACTGGCATAATAACTGATGAAAAGTTCAGAAACACAGAATATATATATATATATATATATATATATATATATATATTTTTTTTTTTTTTTTTTTTTTTTTTTTGTTTTGTTTATATATTGTTACATACAAAACAGTCAAATGGGCTATATTCACATACCAATCTATTTTAAAATGACGTTTCATATCAAAAGTTTATAAATTGTATTTCTGATTAAATAAATGCAGCATTCACTCTTAAAGAGCACATATTTTACCTCTTTTTCAAGATTTAAAATAAGTCTTTTGTCCAGAATGTGTCTGTAAAGTTTCAGCTCAAAACACTCATTAGATTTTTTATTATTGCTTTCAGAATATTGGATTTTCTACTCGACACACAATGTAGCTTTTTTGTGGCCTGCGTCTGGTTCTCCCCGCCCACAGTTCCAATGTGCCTGTCAAAGTGTGCCTCAATCTCCACCTCGGCTGCATCAGATAAACAGCACAGTGACAGACATGAAGGAAGCAGATCTCATGTAACTTTGTGAGAAATACTACAATAAGAACTTTCCCAATTATTATTTGATGTATTTGTTGTGGAATTGCAATGATGAGTCACACACATGATGAGTTACAATGTTCACACATGCACACACACAGACACACACTGTATGTGTTTAACTTTTTTGAAATGTGACAGAATACATGTTAATATCCACTGCTATAGACATCCGTTATGTTAATGTACAAAATAAACCTTTGTGAATATCCTGCCTTGTTGATATGATTTGATGTGTTCCTACGGAAACATGTTCAACCTTCTCAATACAAGAACATAACAACCTCCCTTTACTAAAAACATATCTAATCCCAAATTTTTTAAGTTAATACAATGGTGTCATATTAAACATTAAAATCTTTCATCTTTCTATCACCTCAATATGACTGTGGACACACTATACCTGCACACAGTTCTGTCCAAACAGATTACAAAAAGATTATTTTCATCATAAGTGCCCTTTAACATAAAGTTTTGAAAATAGAGTTTCATCGTGTGCCACAAAAGAAACATTTTAGACTCCTCAGCGACCATTTTTGTTTTTTAAAGAACCGCTTTTCCAACAATTTAATAATTTAAAGAACTCTAAAGAACCTTTTGTTGGATGTTGGTTCTTTTGATGTAAAATACTCTTCAAGGAACCAATTTTTCCATTAAAATTTTTTTTTAAGTGTTGGTAAGCAGAAAAGAAGTCTTACTAAATCATTAATCAACTCTGAAAACTGGACTGACAGTTTCAAGTTACTATAACTTTCATGTTAAATTGATTTAAAACCATTTACATTGTAAAAGCGATATAAGCACAATGGCGCAGGGGGTAGCATAATCGCCTCACAGCAAGAAGGTCGCTGGTTCGAGCTCTGTTTGAGTCAGTTAACATTTCTGTGTTTGAATGTTTGCGTGGGTTTCCTTCGGGTACTCTGGTTTCCCCCACAAGTCCATAGATATGTGCTATAGGTGAATTGGGTAAACTAAATTGTTCATAGTGTATGTGCGTGTATGAGTGTGTATGGGTTTTTTTTCCAGTGATGGGCTGCAGCTGGAAGGGCATCCACTGTGTAAAACATATGCTGGATACCCCATTAATAAAGGGACTAAGTTGAAAAAAATAAATAGAATAAATAAAAATCTTAATGTTTTCAAATTATCGACAACAGTGAGTGCGTTTAGATTTTTTTTTTTTTTTTTTTGGTGACAAAACTTCCAATAAAGCTCCAAAAAGAAAACAAAAGTTAAAATATCATAAATATTCTGGAAATATCTAGAGACAAACAAACCAGCAGATAAAACAGGCCTAAATAGTCTATTAATTAAAAAATAGAAAGAAAAAAACAGCAGTGCGCAACTAACGCAACAAAAGGCTTATTTATCATTTGCACCTACACGTCCATCCACTGCTATAGAGATAAATCCAAGGGCAGCCCTGTTGAGTGTGCTTATTAGCCAAACGAATGCGGCTTCCCTTCAGCTACTAATGAGGTGTAGTCTAGGCTCCAGCAGGCCAGTGTGCGGTGATTCCCAGCCCGATGTAAACTATCACACACAGGCCGGACCGCTGTCTGAGAATCACAATATAACGTTAGTCATTAGAGTGCATCATAACAAGCAAATTCCGCAGTTTAAAGCCCACCCTGCCGTCTGTACAGCAATACACAGAGGTACCGATAGCCCCTCGGCCTGTTGTCGCCATATGTCACATCATCCACAGCAGAATTCCGTTAGGCAATCAAGAACCGCAATCCTGTTACAAATATAGCCTATATTGGAATCTGAATCACGTCCATTGCAAACACCAGAAGCTGAGAGACGATCAATTCATTAAGCGGTGCTTATTTCAGTGCATGCACTCAATCGTGCAGCAGAAACAAACAAATGTGACTGAGAAAATAATATCGGTGCTAATCACATCAGGGCGGATGAGCGAGCGATCGCGTTCAAATAAATCTTACCTGTAATGTCGCCACCAAGAGGGATCTCCTACCCTTAAAACATTCCCGGCGGGCTTGTCATGTGAACGCAAACAGCTGATAAATGAAGAAAATCCGATGGCATGGCATCCACCTCTGAGACGGAATGGAGGAGATGGGAGAGGAGTCGGGCAACCCCCTCTGTGAATAACGATGGAGGGCTGCAGCGCGGAGAAATGCGCGCATATGAGGGAGAGACGGAGAGGAGGAGAGAATGATGCAGCTTCACACGCGCTCACGCCTTGACGCTCCGAGAAGCGGCTTGGATCATAAACCCCCAATGAACAAATCTGAGTTTAAGTCTTAAAGAATAAAAACAAAAATTCCTTGTCTTTAAAAATGTTGCGTTTTTTTTTTCGTTACCCATTTTGTCACTATGTTATTGAGAACAACGCAGATGTTCTGGGTCTACTTGATAAGTTACTTGTTAAAATGAAACTGATATTTTCCAATAGTCACACATTTGACCTGAAACAAGATTTAGATCTTTAAAATAAAGCTTCTTTAATAGGCTACCAGTGGTTCCCGTTTGACATCCATAAGCTTTGTGTTGCACACTCTTCAATGTGTAAAAATATAGTTAAGATGATAAAAAAAATGTCACACATAGTTATTTGAAGAGCAAATTACTAAAAATTATTTTAGTAAACCCTAAATGTCCTCTACAGCATCACCATGAAAACTCCATTTTAGAACTATTCTTAGTGTGTAATTTACCATGAGCATTAATAATAGATCATACCCTTTTACACACATCATTAAGCAAAGGAATGATTTTTGGGATGGAATGATCTGGTCATGTGACACATGCCATAAAAAGATCAATTTCTAAACCACTTTTTTTGTAGCTGCAGGGATGCTGTTTGTCCTGAACTGAAAGTATACGCAGGGAATCAGCCTGGAGAGAAGTTCAGTGACAGTCCTGCAGGGATCTATCAAAAAAGTACATGGCATTGACAGTCTGCACTTTAAATGAACAAACTTAATTGATCCAATCAATAAGCCTTAACAAATATGTTAATTTGAAAATAATTTAATTGTTTACAAAACCTTATGTGACAGTGGTGGCACTGGCCAACTCTAGCACGGTCTACCCAGTCAAATAAAGAATTATGAATTCTGCTTTAAACAAAAAGTAAGACTTTTCTTCAGATCTTTATCTGACTTATCTTTATCTGACTTGCCTGATCAAGATCTCTGCATTTGGGGGCTCACCTCATTCTTCTAAAACCCTGACAAAACCCATCAGTCAGCTCAAGCCACCCATGTCTTACACTGATTGCCCTATTCAAGTCTCTCAACTCTGCTGGCTCTGTTCAAGCATTCAAGACTCAGTCGACTCATGCTAAGGTCATTGCTCTGCTGGCTCTGCCAATCTGGCCTGCTCTGCCAGGTCCACTGAAGCAACTTGGTCTGTCACTTTCACCTACATTACCTTTACTTCCATTTCCAGTCAGGCTTCTTTTAGATGTTGCTTCCTGATGTCCTCCAGCAGTCCAGCTGTGCTATTTTTTTATTATTATTTTTTTTTTTGAGAGATTCCTATTTCTTCAAAACAGAACTCTTCCTGGTTGATTTCTCCAGTCCTGCACAGGCTGGCTGCCCTCCTCAACTTCACTAGCTACTCTTGCATCCTTGATATTGTTTTAGATGCCACTCCAGTTCTTCCTCCTTCTATTACTGATGTCAAGTTAATGTCAAGTTAATGCTAGTCCATGCGTTCTTCTGTTGAAGTATCCTTTGTTCAATTTCCTTTGTAGGGGCATCTGGTGTATCCCATGTAAAAGTGTGGTGTCACTATTGGAAACAGATCTCTAAATAAAATTCTCAATCTATTCCACTAGAAAATCCTGATAGATCGGCTTTATATTATTACACAAAAGTCCCAGCTCACTGAGAATCAGCACACCAGATGCGAGGGCATAATGTCAAAAGCAAATCATTGTAATCAATGATGCTGTCTACAGTGGACAAAATATGCAGATACACATACAGTTTCTGAAGTTCACACACACCCACACTTGAGCAAACATGAAAAAAATAATTTAACATAAATCAGAGAAAAATATTTGTTATTATTTTTAAGTCATAGCCATGATAAATGACATGATTGTGCAGTGGTTAGCACTGTCGCCTTACAGCAAGAAGGTCACCGGTTTAAGCCCCGGCTGGATCAGTTGGCATTTCTGTGAGGCGTTCGCATGTTCTCCCCGTGTTCACATGTGTTTCCTCCTGGTGCTCCGGTGTCCCGCACAGTCCAAAGACATGCTCCATATGTGAATTGAACTAAACTGGCCGTATTATATGCCTGTAAATGAGTGAGTATGGATGTTTTCCAGTACTGGGTTGCAGTTGGAAGGGCATCCGCTGTGTAAAACATATAAGTTGGCAGTTCATACTCCTATGGCGACCCCTGATGAATAAAGGGACCGAAGCCGAAGGAAAAAGTCATGATCATGTTTAAAAATGACACTGATTGACACAATTGACACTGTTCTGTGAGGTTTCCTTTGTTTATTCTCAATGCCTCACTTTCATTTAGTTGTTAAATTTTCTTGCCATGATTCTAACGTCTTTAATTCATTGACGATGTATTCACAAAAAAACCTCTGTTTGTTTCAAATAAAGTTTAACATTTTAAAATTTTGCCCCAATTGTGGGCTGTATAGTATATGTAACTTATTTAACTTAGATTTCTTTACATAGCGAATAAAAATATTATTTTCATAAGTGCTCCCTGCTGTATAATGTAATGTACTGCCAGCAGTAAAAAAAAGAAAAAAAAACTGCACCTAGACTTTATCTCTGTATGTTTCAATTATTCCGTTTCATTATTCACTTTGAAAAAAACTGAAGAGTTCAGATGCAATATCTTCTAAATACCATCTGAATTTTGTGTAGATTCAGTAATATAACGTTTATGGCAAAGGATAGGCTACATCTTTTTATGGTCTTTAGCCTAAAGTGAAATATCTCAACATAAACAAAGGAGGATGAGAAAAATGTTTTGCATCTGGACAACTTCAACTTCAACTGCTAATGAATAACCTAAACATGCCATCTTTCGGATGAGACGTTAAAACGAGATCCTGACTCTCTGTGGTCATTAAAAATCCCAGGATGTCCTTCAAAAAAGTGTAGGGGTTAAAACCAGGTATCCTGGCCAAAACTCCCCACTGGCTTTAGTCCATCATGGGCTCCTCCCCATCATAATTGTCTTCATCACTCTGTCTCCTTTCCACCAATATAAACGTAAACGTATATAAACGTAAGGAATTATAAATTCTTATTATTAAAAATATCTAAGGAATGTCAGTGTAGGCGAGGCAGTGGCGCAGTAGGTAGTGCTGTCGCCTCAAAGCAAGAAGGTCGCTGGTTTGAACCTCGGGTCAGTTGGCGTGTCTGTGTGGAGTTTGCACGTTCTCCCTGCCTTCTTGTGGGTTTCCTCCGGGTGCTCTGGTTTCCCCCACAGTCCAAAGACATGTGGTACAGGTGAATTGGGTAGGCTAAATTGTCTGTAGTGTATGAGTGTGTGGGTAAATGTGTGTGTGGATGTTTCCCAGAGATGGGTTGTGGCTGGAAGGGCATCTGCTGCGTAAAAACTTGCTGGATAAGATGGTGGTTCATTTCACTGTGGCGACCCCAGATTAATAAAGGGACTATACCGACAAGAAAATGAATGAATGTTAGTGTAATAACTTTATCATAATTAACTAATTAATCATATTTAAGTCAAGGATGTCATCTTAATATGTGGTTTGCTTATTACTAAAATCTACATTACATTTTACTTTATCTTTATATTTCTCACTTACAGAGTGTATTTCTCACTTGTTAGATTTTGACAAAAGCACCATCTCAAACTTCAGTGTGTGTTCTCATCATTTTGACAGGCTGCGGTTCTCATGTGTTCCACAGCGGCCCCGTGAGTCTAAAACGTAACACTACATTGCTTATCATGTTCTCAGCGGGTCCAATAGAACTCATTTTCGTGGATGATGGGTGGTAATTACAACACGCGATCCAATAAGCGCACGTTTTGAACATGACTGACGTTTTGAACATCCAATAAGGTGTCCGCTTTTAACAACGTTGTCCAATCCACGTTCCCTAGAGCGCTCTGCCATGCACCAAATAACAAATCATTTGACAACGCTAGTTTGCGATATGAGAGAACTATGGCTTCCTCCTTGATTAAGTGGTTAAGAGGATTATATGTGTTTTTCTTAACATGTCTCCTGTCTGTCTTTGCCTTTTTGAATCTAGAAGAATTAAACGAAATGAAATATGACATACAGATTCTCCCCGATCCTGTTATCATGGGACAGGTAGGATTGTGGGATGCAGCTAGCTGGGGATGTTTGTTTGATACAAACAAACAGCTGTTAGCTTTAAGCACAGCATGGCACATTTGCCATTAACAACTACGTGTTTCGGTGTCTAATAGTCGAATATAGGATAGTAAAACAATAGCTAAATTAAAGAATGGTAAATTAGCTGTGACAGGTTATTAGCATAACGTTAGTTGGACTGTGCCTCCACAGGTATGCTACAGATTGTGCCTGATTGTAAATACAATATGACTTTAATATATATGTTGAAAATGAGCATGGTGAAGTTACATTTTTGATTGTGTTGTAAACTGTTGCACCTCTCCCTAGTTCTGCTTTTCTAATTTTGACTTTCTATTCCTGTTTTCAGATGGAAGATGTAATGTTGGTCTCTAACAAATACAAGCAGCTGTATGAGTGTCGTTTACCAGCTCAGGCAGTGCGTTTCCATCAGGACCCGGTGTCAGAGCCTGATGTGCAGGGTTACAGCGGCCCCGGGGTCCCTGAGCTCCTCAAGCCCATGCAGACGGCAGCATGTCTGATTAAGGTAGTTTCTGTCACAGTCACTCGCACACTAAATATACACAAGCTCTGAATATACTCATCCACAGGCACAGATCTAGATAGATATTAGAAGTTGTGTAGTCTGGAGTGGTGGATGAAGCACACAAATTAAAAATAATAATAAAATATGACTCCAATAAAAGTTTGAAAGTGCTTTTGATGTAGTTTAGTCTTAAAATGAACATATTATTACTAAGTACTGGCTGCTGAATGTTTATTTTACAAGAAACATTTTTTTTGATTACTAATATTCTTTTAATGTATATTACGGTGGCAGAGAGAGCTTGATGTGCTGCAGTTTAAGAAAACAAAAGGAATTACAAAAAACCGCCAGTAAATTAAGAAAAAGATCTTCATCTATTTGACAGCACACATGGTGCAAATCCCCACAACGCAAACACATTAAAAATGTGCTTCATTTTCACAAAACACAAACGATTTACGAAAACCTGCTGCATTCTCTCTCAACGCAATACATCAGAACACAATGGAAATGTTTCAGGTGGACCCATGAATGTGACAGGCGCTTCTGTGCCATGCCTATTGCTCATTGAAATTGTAGGTGATTGTTGAAAGGTGAGTTCTCTTGGTTTGTTTATTGGAACATCCTGATTCCCTTGTCTTTAGTAGTTATTATCCTAAATAGCCAGAACCTAAATATCCAGGTCTGTCATGATTTAGATCCCCTTGAAACATTTCCGTTGTGTTTCGAGGCTATTTGAATGCGTTGTAAGAAAATGCAGCACATTTTATTAATTTGTTTGTGTTGTGAGAATGCAATGTTTTTTTAAAAATGTGTTTCCGTTGTGAGGATTTGCGTCACATGTGCTGTCAAACGGATGAACATCTGTTCCTAATTAATTACCATTTTTTGTAATTGCATGTGCTTTCTTAAAATTGCACCATGTTAAGCTCTCTCGGCCATTAAAGTATAATGTTCTATAAAAATTATTTGATAATCATAATGCAAGTGTGCAGCCAATAATAAAATACAGCATATATTCCTGCATATTAAAACAACTATACAAAAATGGTCTAAATTCCCATTTACGCCAACAACGATAACTATTGTATAATCATGAGATATATTTTTATAAAACTTCTGAAAAAAATTAACATATTGACAGCCAAAGCTCAAGAATTCAAAGCAGAAGCTGACAAAAACTGAAGTGCGTGTTTAAAGTAAACTCCATTAACTAGAATAAATTATATTTTAATTTACAGTTGAGTCAGTCTTAAAGCATCTTCCATTCAGACTTGAGAATTGTCCACTTCAGTTAAAAATAAATGGTTCAGTGCGATTTGCAAATTAAATATAAATAAGTATAACACATTTTTTAACAAATATAAGGGTGTAAAAAGTCAAATATTATGCTTTGCAGTTAAGCAAAAGATCCCCATAATAAAATACCCCAATAAAGTGCAGGTACTTAAAAAGTCTCAAAAATGAAAATTTACTCACCCTCGTGTGGTTTCAAACAAAAGAAAACATTGTTAAGAAAGTTGGCAACCAGCAACATCTGACTTCCATGGTAAGAAAATGAATGGAAATGAATGGTTCCAGCTTTCTTCAAAATATCTTATTTTGTGTTTATCAGAAGAAAGTCAAACATGATTGAACAAGTGAAGAGTGGGTAATTGATGACAGAATTTTCAGTTTTGTGTAAAAGTTTGTAGTAATAAAGTAAAAACTGTTCTCTCTGATCATATTCTCTAAATCAAAAATGTTGTTTTGAAAAAAAAAAGCACATTTGGAGTGGCTATGTAGAGTATGTGTAAATTGAGACGTAATAAATGATGTACATTTATAGTCATTTTAGGTCATGTTAAAATGATAAACTACATGTCACTGTGATCTGAAGCTTGTTCATGTTTTGTTTGCAGACCAAAGACTGGTGGACCTATGAGTTCTGCTACGGCCAGCACATCAGACAATACCACTTAGAAGGCAGGTTAAATCTTTTATCTAATGTGTCTTTGATAAATTAAGTTTTACATGGTCTAAAAAATATATATGCACTGCCTGTTTAAACATGTTTTTTTATTAGTAGTTGGAAAGGAATTTAGGGAATTTAGGACAGAAGCCTTTCAGGAAAATTCACTGCCTATAAATATATACTATTAAATATTTCAAGATGTTTGAAATGTGTTCCATATATGTGATCGCAGATTCGGAGATCAAAGGAGATGTACTGTTTCTGGGATATTATGATACAGAGTTTGACTGGACGAATGAAACTGCAAAGGTAAGGTCAGGTTTGTTAATCCTGATTTGCTTGTCCTAATAAAATGTCTGTAAATGTTGTCAATTCAAATGAGGAATTCTGATACTAGCAGTAAATATTTTTTATTAACCACTTTCATGTTAACAAGTCTGTAGTTATCTTCTATATATTTTGTAGTTACAAAATTAAAATCTTGTTGATCTTTTTTTTTTTTTTTTTCTTTCAGGCATCTAAGCAGCATAAGCTGAAGAGGTATCACAGTCAGTCATATGTCAATGGCTCAAAATGTGACTTAAACGGCAGTCCCAGAGAGACGGAAGTCAGAGTAAGATACTCAGACTTTACCAAGTGCCATATTCCAGACTATAGAGAAAAATAATGAAGAAAGAGTATTATTGAAGTCAGTCTAATGGCTAACAATAAACAATAAGGACACTAGTTAACTGTTGTGTCTAGTCTTCTTAATTCTGCTGCTGTATGCACACACACTGTAGAATACCTTCACTATACAGATGTTGAGCTCATTAGACCTCAAGTAATGCATATATATATATATATATATATATATATATATATATATATATATATATATATATATATATATATATATATATATATATATATATATATATATATATATATATATATATATATACACACACACACACACACACACAATTTGAGGTTAGATAGATCCTTAAATTGATCAATCCTAGGTAGATCAAATTGAGGCTAGATAGATCTGTCCTTTACAACAAGCACATGCAATAATCTCAGATCTGATTCACAAACTTGTTTGAAGAACCAAATCAGCCAGAGACCAGTTATCATGATTAAAAGATCCAGGATCTGTCAGATTATCTTTGTTTAAGCGAGGTACAAAGAACGGACCCCAGTAGTTTACATCAGCAACATAGAATTGTATTTTAATCTAATGGCAATGATAATCTATATATGTATATTGTGTTTTTAACAGTTTGTGTGTGAGGAAGGCTCTACTGACTTCATTTCACGGGTGGATGAACCCCAGTCTTGCCGCTACGTCTTGACAGTCCACACCTCTCGCACGTGCCAGCATCCCCTTCTGCGCCCACCGTCCACTGCCAAACCACAAGGCATTGTGTGCCAACCTGCTCTCAGTGCCCAGCAGTACATGGACTACGTCAAGGCTCAAGTCTGTAAGTATGAGAGGTGATGATTTTTTTTACTTTACATCAAGGCACTGTAATTTAGGGATCGATTGGTGAAAATATCCAATGTTACAAATGATTTTGCAGTGATTCTGTTAACATGACATTAATTAGCTACACTTAATTTGCTGTTTATATGGTTGTCAAGAGTCTCCAAAGAATCCTTCACTTTACTACATGACTGTGAGATGTTGAGGAGGATATATTTTGTGTTTAAAAGATGAGTTAATGCATTTAAAAATCAGTTAATAAATTTAAAAATTGTATTATTTTTTATTATATCAATAATATATCAATTAAAATAATTAATCATGTTTTTGTATTTGTATACTGTTTAATTACTTTTTAACAGGTAAAATCAAACTGATCGAAATTAAAGATATTATTTATATATTTTATATTTTTGTTGTATGGTTTTTTCTTCTGCCTTGATTGTTTTTATTAATTGTCTCTGTATTTTTTGTAATTTTGATTTTATTTATTTTAATTTATACAGAACAAAAAGTAAAATATATCTTAGGAAATTTACCAGAAAAAAAAGGTTCTTTTAAAAAATGTATTATATTGTTTTGAGTTGATGTTATTTCATCAAGTAACAGCATTAATTTTGTGTTTGTGGTTTTAACTAGCTATAACCCTGCTCACCCAGGAGAGATGACCTATATGCTGTTAAATGTTAATTACACTACTATTACAATAACAGGATATGGATTGCTATGGCAGCACATTAAGCCCAGTCTATTGTTACTCCATTCATTATTCAACAGTTGTTGCTTTCACCTTTTACACATACAGTGCTGTATACTTACTTGCATAGAAACCTTCAGAATCATAATCGGATATTTTTATTCACAATTTCTTTCCTTATCACTCATTACACTATTCATAAAAATGTCCTCGCTGCCAAGTTCAGTCCTATTAGATTAGATCTCCGGAGATGCAATCAGCCTACATTTAATTGTACTCTGTTCTCCAATTGATTCATTATTTTTAGCACCTAGACATCTGTCGTTGCCTCTCTCTCTGTCTCAGCTGACACCAAACGTAAAGTGGAGCAGATCTCAGAGGAGCTCAGAAACCTGGATGAAATTCTGTCCAAGGATGACAAGAACAAAGGTGTGCTGGATGACAGAACAGATGAGGAACCTGCAGTTAGCTCAGACGAGCCTCCAGTTTCCGAGGCCCAAACAAAAGGTCAGCATTCAGACTGTGATTTGATTTCTTTATACTTGTATGACTGGGTTAGTTTTAAGGCCATCTACAACACCCTCAAATTCAGTCTTGAGTTTTTTAACCTCAATCCTGCAGTTATAGTTCAATGCACTGGGTGGTGCTGTGTATAGGAAATATAAAACTGAGTTGGTAAGAAGTGATATATGCAGGGGCGCTGCTGTTCAGTACAGGCCCTATGACAACTTTGTAGAATTGTACAACTTTGTACATAGTTACTAATAGTAACTCTAGGGGCCCCAAAACAGCGTGGGTCCTTGGAATGGTCCTAACTTTCCCCCCTAGCAGCACCCGTGGTTATATGTTTTGTTTTCATGACCAGTTTTTAAGGAGACGCTGCTAATAAATAGTGTAAAAAATATTGGCATCACCACACTTTTTTTAGTTATTTGATTGTTAAAATATGATTAAACGAGCAAATAAGGCATAATTTAAACAAATATGCACTATTTTGCATAGATTTCTACCACAAAAATTAGAACATTGAAGGAAATCAGCTTCAGAATTCTTCTTCTTCTTCTCTCTCTATTTTATTTTTACATTAGATTAATAGATTTTTACCAAGGGGATTTTGGATATGTCTTTCCATCAGATATTGTTTTGAACAGACAGACACATTAGAGTAATATATCTTTTTGTCAAGTGAGTTTTGGGTATGTTTTTGTCATTAGATATTGCTGCAAACAGACAGAAAAAAATCGCATTGTTTTTTTTAGATTAGAGCACAGGGAGTCAATGGGCAAAAACAAAATTTTAGGCCTTTTTACTGTCCAATTTTAACTCCCTAATCAGGGAAAGAAAACTAAAGCAGCACATTCATTTACATGATCTTTATTAATAGAAAATCTATTTACAAAAGTAACTGGGCCATTAGAAAAAATCCTTATAGTGTTTAGCCCTGTAGAAGTATAAAACTTCAATCTCAATGGTCTTAAAGTCTTACATTTGTCTTGGAAGTCTGCAAAAACCCTGACAGCAATAGATTTTTACCATTTTTACAGATTTTTATGATTTTCTTCATCAAATATTACTGTGAACAGACAGAAAATGTCTTAAAACTCAAAAACAAAATTTTAGGCTTTATGAAGTCTTAAATTCACTGAAATATTGTGCTGTTGGTCTTAAATTGTTTTAAAACGGTTAAATCTCCCCAATCAGTTCAATTACCATTACTCCATCTTAAAACATTTTTATTGCAAAGAGATGCAATTCACAATGACAGTTAGACATTTTTACAGCAAATTCTCCTAATTATATTACTTAATCAGGGGGAAAAAAACGAAAGCAACACATCGATTTACATGACCTTTTGTTAATAGAAAAACTGTTTACAGAAGGAAGCTGGGCCATTAGAAAAAAAGTATAAAATTTTAGTCTTAATGGTCATAAAGTTTTAGCCTGCAGAGACCCAGAGAGAAATAGAATTTTACCAAGGGGATTTTAGGCCGTCTTGTCATCAGAAATTACTGTGAACAGACAGTAAAAATATTACGTTGTGAAAAGCCTTAAAAATACATATTATAGTTAAAATCTTTATACAATGCGGCAAAAGAAGCACTTTGAAGTCTGTTTTGCATGTTTTCTTTTCATTAGACTGGAAAAAAAAACACTTTCTGAACAACCAAAATTGCTAAATTGGGGTGCATGTTAACATGTTTTCCTGTTTCTCGACAAAGTCTAAGAATATTAAAATATTATTGACGCATGTGGCTGCAAAACCTCTTTGGGTCACCAATGTATATGTTTATCATATTAGTTTTTGACCTACTAACTACAAAATAAATTAAAATGGCAATCTCTGACATTGTATTACAGTATTTATTTTCACATCTTTTTATAAAACATTCAGGTGTGTCGTCTTGTGCATGTATAGTTTGTAGCTTTTTTGTTTATTATTTCAGTCTTGCTTTTACATTCTTGTTCTCTTCTTTAAGCTGTCTCTTTAGCAGCTTCCATGCAGCCTTCAAACAAATATCTGTGTATGTGTGATATAACAGAGGGTGAAGTTGCTGAGAAGTCGACGAGTGAAGAGCCAGAGGACAAAGACTTCTGGGAAGGAGTTACCAAACCAGCACACACAAAGCCAAGCACACCTGACACAGAGGTACAAACTGTCTGGAAATGATCATAATGTGAACCAGACATCTTCATAGTGAGATTTGGTCATTTACTTCATTTTACAACTGTCTTACAGACCCCTCAGGACCCACAGGACAACCAATTACATGAAAATGATTGTAAGACAATTATTTTAATTAAACATGAATTAACTATGTTGCATAAGAAGTTTTTTTTTCTTGAATCAAAAATGTAGCATCAGTTTTATTTAGTTTAATAATGGGTACCATGCACGACCAGAATTACTGTATCTATAAAGCTAAAATTGGTCTTGATTTAAGGGTGATAAATTTATAGATGTTATGTAATAAGTAAAGCTGTGCTGTACAATCAAAAACTTTATTTTTAACAATTTGTAAAATTTCTGCCATGAAACTCTGCTCACGCAGACTGATTCGTTACCTAATCTGCCCCTGTGTCATGAGTTGAAATGCTCTGCGTGATTTTACCCTGTCAAGCTGCTGCATGTTTTTGGAGACCCTCTTTCACCCCAGCTCCACCCGTGTTTGGATCTGCTATGGCACAGGTGTCAAACTCAGTTCCAAAAGGGACGCAGCTCTGCACAGTTTAGTTCCAACCCTAATTAAACACACCTGATCAAACTAATTGAGTGCTTCAGGCTTGTTTGAAACCTACAGGTAAGTGTGTTGGAGCAGGGTTGGAACTAAACTGTGCAGGGCTTCGGCCCTCCAGGAATCAAGTTAGACACCCCTGTGCTATGGAGTTTTTATGCATAATATGTTTGCAGCAGCCGCATGTTATTTTCTCAGACGACATGTATGTGCATATGCTGGCTGTAGCAGGTCTCAGTACTTGCTCTGCCATAATTATCAAAGCAGCAGCAGTGTAGCAGATCTTTACTGCCAGGACCAAAAACATCAGCATTGCCATATACATAATCAATCCCATACTAAATCCAGAGAGTTTTTATGACAAATTTTTTCAGGGGCTAAATGATTTTGCTATTTTGGCAACTATTATTGTAGATATTTTGCTTTACTTTATGCATGATTTAATCAAAAAACATATCTAATTACTTTTTAATTTATTTGTTTAATTATTTGTTCTGTATTAAATCTAAGTATAAACATTAAATCAATAATAAAGAAATAATAGTATTGTTTGTAAAGTATTTCATAATGTTTAAGCAGTAAAACGATATGATTTTTCTCTCATTTGGCTTGGTGAGTGTTTAGGCCCTAAATATCTCGCATATTATATTTAATATAAAAGTCCAAATCAGTGATCTCATAAGTGAACTGTCTAAAAAGACTAGATGTTGTGTCCTTAAATCACTTTCTTTGTCCTCATTTCCTTTTTCTGTTCAGTATTTGGAGAGGAAAAGTTTAACTTTAAAATCATCACAGACCCCGCAGACCTCATGAAGTTTGTACAACACCTCAGAGAGAGCAACGAAAAGGTTTGTATTTTTAACAAAGTCTAACTTATCAGCCAAATTTTCCTCTAGCCATTTCCAAATCTTGCCAGTTGCCATTGCATGATGTTTTTAAAAATTTTCAGCTACAACCTATTTTAAAAGGGCTCCCATTTTACCCCTTTTACAAGATGTAAGAAGTCATTGGTGTCTCCAGAATATGTCTGTAAAGTTTCAGCTCAAAATACCCAACATGTTCTGTTTTAAACATGCTCTGTTTTAAACATGCTCTGTTTTAAAAAAAATTAAAACTTGTTAAACTCATTCTTGAGATACAACTGATCACAGAGAGCTGAATGTATCTTTTAATCCCAGTTTCTTTGCAAATCCTATTCTGTGGACATGTGTAGATCCACATAACTACAAAGACATGTTAATATGCTCCTGTCAGTCAATACGGTGGGCAGGGAAAACCGCACTCCTGCTCCTCAAAATCACTGGGATTTGTATCCTGTTTTGTAATATGACTGTGGACACACTATTTCTGTACCTACACACAGTTCTGTCTAAACAGTTTCCAAAAGTCGATTTTGCGTCCAAGGTGTCCTTTCAAGACACTGTCAAGTAAAGAGTCACTACCCATTAAAAACATGTGTTGTTCAAACTTTAATTTCTGTTTTGTATGTTCAGAACAGGAAAGCTGAGCTGGAAAAAGAAAACCAGCAAGCATCTCAGAAGAGGAAGGAGAAGGAGGAAAAAATAGAGGAGAAAACAGCAGAGGTGGAGGTGGAAGTTGAGGATGTAGATGAAGATGAAACATTGCTTCAGGAGTTTGAGGATGAGATGCAAGATCTATCCGTTCCCTCGTCCAAGATAGAAGAAATAAAAGAAGAGATGCAGAAAGAGTTTGACAACATCATAGAGGAAGTACGAGTTGATACTCTTAACACCTTTGTATGTATTATGCCTTCAGTTAAATATTTGTCAGTGAACATTGTCTTATTGTGTTTTAATCTTCTAGGCTCAGCAGGAGTTAGAAAATGAAGGCCTTAAGGGTGAGTTTGATCGTTCTCAGGCTACGCAAACTCTAGAAAATACACTAGGGAAACTTCTGGACCGTCTTGAAGACAAGACTGAACATGAGAGTCAAGCAGAAACAGAACAAAATGCAGAAATGGATAAAAGCACACATTCACCGCATAAAACAGAGGGAGGCTCTTCTTCTGGCAACCCAAATCTGGTTCCCAAAACACCAGGTAAATATAGAGACCTCAGAGGGGAAACAGGTGCATGAGCGAACAGATGGTAGAATGGATGGCTCATTAAAATGTCTCTAACTTTCATCTGTGCACCCCAAGCATTCATAGAATCTGCTTATGAGCTTATTATACTATACATATATAGTATAATGTCTGTGTGTGCATGGCTTGTATTTTTGCATTATACAGTGGCTCAAAAAAGTAGTCATCAACAAACAACTGATGCTAGACCATTTCAATTAATGGCAAATAATTTTTTCTAACTGATTTCAAAGAGAAATTATTAAGTATTAATTATGCCTGTCATGATATCTGCTTTTCTGTTGTACGATTTACACTATCTGACAAAAGTCGTGTTGCCTATCCAAGTTTTAGGAACAACAAATAACAACTTGACTTCTAGTTGATTGTTTAGTATCAGAAGTGGCTTATATGAAAGGCAAAGGCCTCTAAATTACGCTTATTTTACCAAAATATGATCATGACTTGATTTTTAATTATTTAATTAGGACAGTAAGGTCTGACTTTGCTTAGACAAAAGTCTTGTCACTTAACAGAAATAATGTACAGTATAGAATAAAGTCATGGTGCAGTGAAAAAAGAATTAAAATAGTGTATGACTGCCATGAGCTTGCAGGACTGCACTGACACAAGTCATTTGGAATGGTAAAGAAAGCGTTCCTGCAGGACTCCCGGGTCATCAAGATTCTTTGGATCCATCTTCAATGCCTCCTTCATCATCTTACCCCAGACATGCTCAATGTTCATGTCTGGTGACTGGGCTGGCCAATCCTGGAGCATCTTGACCTTCTTTGCTTTCAGGAACTTTGATGTGGAGGCTGAAGTATGAGGAGCGCTATCCTGCTGAAGAATTTGCCCTCTCCTCTAGTTTTCAATAAAATTGGCAGCACAAATGTCTTGATACCTCAGGCTGTTGATGTTGCCATCCACTTTGCAGATCTCTTGCACGCCCAATACTGAATTTAACCCCAAACCATGATTTTTCCTTCGCCAAACTTGTCTGATTTCTATGAAAATATTGGGTCCATGCAGGTTCCAATAGGTCTTCTGCAGTATTTGTGATGATAGAGATGCAGTTCAACAGAAAAATCTATCCTCTGCTACTTTTCCAAATGATAAACTAGAAGTCAAGTTTATATTTGTTGCTCTTACAACTGGAAAGGATGACAAGGTGCTGTAGGGCAAAATATATTGCGAAACTATATTGTAATTTTAAGATCATTTTATGCCACTCATTATATAATCCCAGAATGACAGTATAATATTATTGCAATGCAAGTACACTCTTCCAAAGAAAACATCATATTTTATTTTTAGGAATATTTTATTTAATTACAGACATTTTAATAATGAGGCATTGCGATCAGAATGGAATGTGAAAACGTGTTTCCTAAACAATTAAATAATAGTAAATGTTAACAAAATGTGCAATGCAAAAAGTAACAGAGGCTGTGATATCTGCTACCAGATTTCTTTTCATTTGTCAGACACCAAATAATTTATAGTTAATACTATAGTGTTTTTAACTATACTGACACTGAAACCTTCAATACAGATCGAGAGGTTGGGCAAACAGCTAAAATGTTGCTAGTTTTTATGTATGAGCCATATATATTGCATCACCAAAAATTATTGACGTCAAGTCTATGTATTGATTATAGTGACGAGCCAAGTATTAATAATTTTTTTTATTGTAATTTTTTATGATACACTGCTATTTGAAGGTTTGGGATTGGCTTGATTTAGGGTTTTGAAAGGATATCTTGCTTATCAAGGCTTTGTTTATTTAATTAAAATACAATAAAAAACAGAACAGTCTGTTTTAGTATGTATTTAATTAAATATAATTTATTTCTGGAGTTTGAATTGAATTGCCACATGACAAATGAGAAATTGGTTACTCAAGAAACAATTATTATTATTATTATTATCAGTTTCAAAAATAGTTGTGCTGCTTTAAAGGCATAGTTCTACCAAAAAATGTTTAGTAGTTGGCTACCAGTTTCCAGCATTCTTCAAAATGTCTTCCTTTGTGCATTTCAGAAAAAAAATTATACATTTTTAAACCACTTGAGAAAAAGTAAATGATGACAGATATTTTCATTTTACTTAACTGCCTCTTTAAAACAAAATCTTTTGTAATATTTTTTAAAGTATTTTGATTCATTCCTACTGACCTCTATGGAAGCCCGTTCTGGCCACTGAATAAAGAATGAGTTCAATGAAAAAAAATATATAAAGTAATAATTCTGAGTTAAGTCAAAATTCTGAGTTATTAAGTCAGAATTGCGAGTTTTTAAGTCAGAATTCAGAGTTATTAAGTCAGAATTCAGAGTTAAGTCAGAAAGGTGAGTTATAAAGTCAGAATTGCGAGTTATAAAGTCAGAATAGCGAGTTAAGTCAGGATTGTGAGTTGTTAAGTCAGAATTCAGAGTTATTGAGTCAGAATTGTGAGTTTTTAAGTCAGAATAAACAATAAAAAGTTGGATATAGGCTTTATGTTTTGATTATGAGCTAATGTGCATGCATCTTTAACACTGCATTTATGGTCAGTTGGCATAACAGGAAACGCAATTATAATTCGCAATTCTGACTTAAATACTCAGGATTGTGACTATAACTCAGAATTCTGACTATAATTCGGAGTTGCGACTTTATAACTCAGAATTGCGACTTTATAACTCAGAATTGCGACTTTATAACTCAGAATTCTGACTTTATAATTTTTTTTTTTATTATTAGTATTTTTTTTTTATTCAGTGGCAGGAATGGGCTTCCATAGACCTCAACCTATTCAATAGTAGTGTATTTTTGTTTACTTATTTTCAATGATCAGCAGTCAAAATACTTTTTAGATGCCACTGTATAAACGATGTTCATGATGAAATCACTGTCACCGCTGTTTTTAATTCTACACATTGCCATACTGCTGTGCAACTCTGGCTTTTGATGTAATACAAAGTGGGCAGGGGGATTTTATTTTGCGATGTACTCGCGGTAACCCTACCCTTCCCTCTGTCTCACATCACCCAAGCGGACAGCAGCGGCGGCGGCGAGCAGGTAAAAGTCAGGGTGACTAAGTATAAGGTGGGCGGAGGTGTGGCTGCAGGAGCGGTTACCGGGGGCAACGATGATGGTGATGATGATGAGGGGGGTGTGAAGGTGCAGGAACTGGGCGAGGGCGACCCCCAGTGGCAGCAGATTCATGAAGTGGTCAAAGAGCAGCTAGAGAGAGCCGGCATCAAGGCCGAAGGTAGGCCAGAACACACACACACAAATCTAAAGTATGCTTATTTCCCTGTGTGTGTGTGTCTTTGTGAGTGGAGCAAAAACTTTTATCTTTCATTCTCAAAACCTTAAACTATTCTTTTTAATCTGGGATTTGGGATGAGTAACTTGTTTTTTTAATGACATCTTTTTGTTTTTCTTCACTTTGACTCTTCTGTTATTCAAGATCAGGGTACTTTTCAATTTAAAAGGGCCTTTGTCCCAAAAATTAATATTATATCTCCATTTTTTTCATCCTTGAAAGGTTCCAAGAGTTTCTTTCTTTCTGTTGAGCACAAATGAAGATATTCTGGCTTCGGTGGCAACCAGTTTTGTACATTTTTTCAGAGTATCTTCTTTTATATTCAACAGTAAGTAACTGGTGATTTAAATACCCATGTTTTTTGATGAAGTATACTTTTTAAGCGATCTTCTCAAATACCGGTGCGGTGACTTTGTTCCCTTGATGCTGGCTTTCAAAAGAGGTCTTAAGAATAGCTTTGAAAGAAAACATCATAGGATTAGCACACAATCATTTTGTCAGTAGGAACCCGGGTGGCTGTGCTACCAGTTTAACTGGTTTTGGATTGGACTTGATGTTCATGCTGACAGAATGTGAAGATTTAGGAGCTTGACTGCACTTCATTTGTCTTTCCTTCAGCTCTTCATTGCATGCATCATTTCTGTGACTGCTTCCTTTCATTCTTTCTTTTAACTGTGTGTATGGGAATGAAAATAATAATTGTTTCTTTATTTAGTATGACTGTGTTTGTGAAAGTACAGTTGTCTAAATAAATGTATGCAAATGAAAAAAAGGATTTAGGATTTCTGACATGTTTTTCAGGAAAGATCGAGGTGAAGATTTTAACCCGTAAAACAGCCGAAGAAGCAGGAGACCAGTGGCTCTCTGAGGAGGATACGAAATCATTTAGAGAGCTTCTCATCAACCTTCTGGTATGAATTTAAACAGAGATAAACAAGCCATCACCTGTAGGATGCAAAAGGATCTTATTGGGCCTTGAGGCTAAAGCAAACCCAAGGGTCCCCTTTATGTAATAATATGATGATGTAATATTTTTTTCTTTATTATTTAATTTATTTTTATATTATTATTATTATTATTGTTGTTGTTGTTGTTGTTGTTAAAAATGTGTTCATTATTTCTTTTTCTTGTTGTTGCTATTAGTATATTATTAATGTTGAAAAAATAAGTGTTATAGTAATAATAATATAATGTAATAATATTTTTCCTTATTAATTGGATTTTTAAATATTATTATTATTATTATATTATTATATTATTATTATTATTATAAATTCATTATTTTATATTATTATTAATAGTATGTAGAAACAATAATAAATGTTGTAGTTGTAATAATATTTTTTATCAATTTATTTTATTTTATGTTGTTGTTGTTGTTATACATTTTATTTTATAAATTTTGTTATAAACTATTATTATTAATGTAGAAATAAGTGTTGTAGTAGAAGTAATAATAATAATAATAATAATAATATAATGTTTATTTTTCTTTGTTTATTTAATTTGTTTTATATTATTATGGTAAATTTGTTTATTATTTTATTTTGTTGTTGTTGTTGCTATTAGTATATTATTTATGTAAAAATAATAAATATTGTTGTAATAATAATATAAACTTTTTTTTCCTTATTAATTGATTTATTTTTATATTATTGTTATAAATTTGTTGATTTATTTCTTGTTGTTATCAATTTAAAAACAATAATAAGTGTAGTAGTAATAGTAATAATATAATGTAGTAATATTTTTCCTTATTAATTAGATTTGTATTGAATTTATAATAGTAATTATCTTATTATTATTTAATGTAATAATATTAAGTTTAATATTAATATACATATACTGTAGTAATAATAATAAATGTAATTTGCATGGAGTCTAAATTGCATAATGCTTAAAAAAATACTGCTTTATTTAGTCAGCATAAACAGCCACTAATATCTACTTGCACTTGCAGTATTTAAATAGAGGCAGATGCTATTTACACTGTGTACAAATATGTGCTACTATATTTATTTTATGCAAATAGCCTCTGCCTAAATAAATTGGTGTTCTCTTTCTTTGTAGACAGGAGGAACAGAGGAGGTGTACAAAGAGCAGAAAAGACAGCAAGAGTTGGAAAACAATTACAAATTTGTCTGGGGAGAAAAGCAGGATGAGAGTCAGTCCACAGGAAACAGTGATTCTGACGAAGCAGACTTTTGAGCCTTTTCCTCATCTCTCAAGCACTGTTATTTTGAAGAAGGCCAGCCAGCATTCTCTGAACTATAAGCCTGGTAATCACTTTACAGTGTGCGTCGCAACCAAACTGCCCTCTCAGACCATTCGAGTTCATGTTTAAAAACTTTTGAGGGCTTCAATCCACTGCCGGGAATTTTTTCTGTATGAGCGTCTGTGAGTTGTTTGTAGCTTGTCAGAATATTATGTGGTCGCTTCTTTGAACAAATATACAAATGCACTTCACCTTTGAGTTGTGTTGTGCTTCATGTCAGTGTGTGACAAAGCCCTTCCTTCCTCCTCTTTCACCTCCAGACAAACATCAGTTAGTCTGCAGGCAATCTCTATGCCAACATTTTCTCATCAGTGGACAAACAGTGATGTTCTTTTGGATTGCCTTTCAATGGCAGGGAAATATGGATACATGCAGAGCTGTTTTTAGGGATTGAGTGTGGTGATGGTCAGAATCCCTTCACCTTAAATCAATTTTTTTTTTTGTCTTGCATGTCATGCAAAACAACCTAACAAACCCAGAGCCTCTGACCTATAAGCAAATAATTCAATGTATGGTTGCTGTTTAGTCATAGATTAACATTTCGCCAAAAATAAAGAACATCTAATTACCAGAATTAAAATAGAAGTGCTCAGGGGTAGCTTAAATAATGTGTCTGTGCTCTTTGGATGAGGGATTCATCATAATAAAGCAGCAAAAATCAGTCCAAGGCGCTCAAAAAATTTGGAAACAATTTTAAAAAGCATTTATTGACATGGCTATTCCTTAAAACTGTGGCTACACATGAAAATAACTGTCTTCATCAGGCTAACTGTTTTTAAGGAATAGCCATGTTAATAAAGGATTTTTAATATTTTTCCACATTTTTGGAGTGCCTTAGACTGATTTTTAACATTTGAGTACCCTTTACACACAAGCGTCTTGTATATGAAGATGTTTTGAAAATTGATGGTAACGAAAAACATATGGGCCCCTATTGCGAAGCTGATACAGAGTTGGAGCAAATAGAGTGTGAGTAAATAATGACAGCATTTCATTCTTGGGTGAACTGTCCCTTTAAGACATGTTTAGGTGGTTTATTTATGTTCAGCCAGACTTTAAATGAATTATGTCTTATTTAAAACACAAAAACCACTGCCAGGCGTTGAGAATCTACTGCTTTTTGCTGCTTCTTTCATGTCCCTAGCAGATAAGGGCTGTTTTTGTTGTTGTAAATGTTTGGAATGATCATCATACTTTGGTTGATTGTAAAAAAAAAAACTGAGCATTTGATTAGATTTTTTTTGTATAAATTAAGGCAACTGCCATTGCTAATGTCTCATGCACAATTTTTTAAGGGGGAATTAAATTGGTATAAGCTGCTGTAAGAAATTACAGTGAATATTTATCTTTTTTTTTTAACTGTGAGAAAGCATTGAAATAATGTTCACAAGCACTCTGTAAAAGCACCTAGGGTTGACAAAGAGGTAAAAAAATATATATAAGATTGTGCCTTGGGCCAATACATTTTTGCAGGTCTTGTTTGTCTAAATAACTGGAACATTGACGGGTGTGATCGACACATTTTAATGACTCAGTACTTCTGAAGGAGAAACGAATCTTCATCCTGTCGAAACTACATTAGTTGGATGGAAGATAATTGTAAAATAATATGTACAATATGCTGTGGTCTACTAAAATTGCATTTGATTCACAGTTTTGAATACGCTGATAGCAGTTAAGAGTCACAGTATAAAAGAATGGCTTATTGTCACATATTTAACATCTTGTTGTCTTCAGAGCACTGATACTAAATCCACTATTTGATTGTCAGTAATATAGGTTGAAATATCTGATATAAATACCAATAAAATTACACATCTTAAATTAGACCATATAAAATTAGATATGCAATTAATTTAAGAATTACACTGCAGATGAACATGGTATGCAAGCTGATTAACTAGATTAAAAGTTTCAAACATCTTTTGTATTAAACGTTGTCTAGATTGTTTTGTCTAAATATGAAAATCAGGCATTGTTTAATTGAATTTGCACTATTTCTATAATTCTGTACACTTAATTCAATTAGTGCTTCCCACAATAATTACTGTTCTAAAGCAGCTTTACAAAAGGACATAATTACAATCAAATTAAGTATAGGTTACAGTACAATCAAATAAAGGTAATTTTATAGAGGGTGTTTCAGAGTTTAGAAGCCATAAATCGACCTCCTTTAGTAGACTTTGCTATTCTGGGTACTACCAGAAGGCCCGAGCTTTGAGTACACTGGAAGAAGTAAGGCTCAATAGTCTTGTTTACACAGTTAAAGGTTTTTACAGAAGGGATTTTTTTATCACTCATAACTCTGAAAATAGTAAAAACTTTCTAAACCTCTGCAAAAATGTAGCTGTTTGTTTTTTCTGTTGATATCAGCATTCTCTGATATCAATAAAACTGCTCCATAAACTGGAGATTTATGGCAGTGCAGGAGGGATAAAGTCATATTGAAAAAAACAGAACATGTTAAGTGCTGTGAAAGGAATTCTGGATGTTTTCATTCCACTTGTATGAAAAAAGGCCTAAAATCTCAAAACTGACAGGTGCATAAAAAAACTTTAAAGTGTTAAGCAATAAATACGCATTAAAGGACGCCTATGATGAAAATTATCTTTTGTAAGCTGTTTGAACAGAACTGTGTGTAAGTATAGCGTGTCCACAGTCATATTGGGGTGATATAAACACAAAGTTTTTTTTTTTATTATTATTCCAAATCCCTCCCACCACAATGTGATGTAGGGGTGCCTTTTTCCCCTGCCCACCGAATTGAGTGACACCCGTAAAGCAAACGAGATTAAAAGATCTGTTCAGCTCTCTGTGATCATCAATCATCATCAAATGTGATCAAGAATAAGTTTTACAAGTTAAAAATGTTTTATAACAGTGCATGTTTTTAATGAATTACAGCAATTTTACTGTCTTCACATTATCACCACAGTACGCATGTCAGTACAATTATAAAAGAAGACATTAACATAGCGGATATCCACACAGCAGTGGATTTTAACCTGTATACTTTCACATTTGCATGCAAAAACAATGCAAAGTTAAGCGCACGCACTGTGCGTGTATGTCTGTTTGTGTACACATGAACTTTGTAACTACATTGTGTGTGACTCATCGTTTTTATCGACTCATTAACTCCACAGCAAATACATCAAATACATCAAATAATCATTGGTAAAGTTCTTACTGTATGAGATCTGCTTCCTTTATGTCTGTCACTGTGCTGTTCATCTGACTCAGCTGAGGCAGAGATTGAGGCACACTCTGACAGGCACATTGGAACTGTGGGCGGGGAGAACCAACATTAAAGGCACAGGCAACAATAACAGCTACATTGTGTTTAGTGCAGAAAATTCAACATTTTGGAGACGCAAAAGACTTAACTTAAATCTTGAAAAAGTAGTAAAATAGATGCCCATTAAAATACAAACGGCTATTGTTGACAGTTTTCAAAAATATTAATTGTTTCGTGTTATCAAATTAATTTTGTTCAGTTGTCTAACGCATTTGGTAGGTAAACAACACAAATTGGCTGTTTCAATCAACATTTTCAGTAAATATCAAGCTAGACTAGGCGTAGTTGATGTCAAGCACAAGAAACTTGCAAACTTCTCTTGGCGTGATTCATTTGGCTCAGTGCCTTCGCTCACTGGAATGTGCTCACGGTTGGATACATGTGGGCCAATCAGAACACGTCTGTTATGACTGACAGGCAAATTGTCCAATCGAACGCGCTTCCGCGTGTCTCGTATTAGTTGTGACGCGAGCAGTTCACAGTTCACAGTTGTGCAAGCGTTCAGGCGTTCAAGTAGGATTTTCTTTTGTTTTTTAAATAAAAGCGACTCATCGTTATGAGATGGGTGTGTGTCACAATCCACGAAACAAAGAGTGTCAGAGAGTACACGTTGGCTAATTATAATACGGAAATGAACCGCCCCTCATACCGCTCGGCTTTAACGTACTTGCTGAACATTCGGATCAGTTAGGAAGATAGGAAGCACGCTGCTAGTTAGCCTTAAGTAAAGCATAATATTATCTACCAACCCAAACTTGTATGGGTTAGAATACAGCCAGGATATGATTCTGGAGTCCGTTCATGTGAGTAGGCTGTCAAATGTCTTGGATTTCAGTTAAAAACCGTAGTTCACGATAATGCTAGCTCTCTGAATTGGACCGAAATGGCCTCGGAGCCGAATCCTGCGGTTTTTCTCACTTCTGTTATGGAGGAAATCAACAGCCTGGTAAGATTCAGCGTTAGCGTGCAATAATGCTAATATCCACCCTCTGGTTGTTCACTTTATTCATTGTAAAGATGGTTGTTGTCAAACTTTTTGTGTACAATAAAGTCAACAGATTAGTGAAAGTTGTTTTTACAGAACTTGTTCAATAACGACAAAAGCAACAGTTGAAATGTTTACATTCTGTTTTACGTATTTGTTTTGTAACACTTTACATTAAAATATACTTGAACACATGTTAACCTGAAGTCCCCTTGTAAGTTTACTAAGGGCCCCCTCGTTTGGCAGCTAGTTAACTGCGCTTGGACGTACACGTCATTTTTTAATTACAAGCCTATATTTGCCAGGAGTGTGACAGACAGAACGCTAACATGGTTCCATAACGTCTGGCGGTGTTGACATTTGGATTAATTTACCTAAACACATTCATCAGAATCTGCTAGTTTAGGTGTATTGTCAAGTAATATCCTGGTATGACGACGGAACGGAAGCAGTTCTGTCGCTACGTTGTCAAGTGCGAGGTTGTGCTGTCACGCGCCTAACTTGGGGTTTAATTTGGATAGTAAACGTCTGAATCTTGTATGTGTTCCCAATAGTCGCTGTGAGGTGAGGGTCTCTACATACAGAGCTCGTGATGAAGGCTCTCGGCGCGCGCTCCGCGTTCTACGTGGGCTTTCTGGTGGGCACGTGCAGCTTATACCTGCTCCTGCGTCAGGCTGGGTTCACCCGGGACTCGGGGTCTCGTGAGCCCGGGACCCACGATAAAACCCTGCTGGAAATGCTTGAAGAAGAAAACAAGAACTGGAAGAAGGAGAGGTCGGCTCTTTTCAACCTCAATCATCCGCACCATACAGGTAATAACGTGGCAGAAACTAACAGAGGTCCTAAACAATGCGAAGAATGTATAATGTAAAGCAATGGACATAGTATGAGCACTTCCCAAAAAAAAG